CAACATACAGAGACCCCTGTCTCTGCAGAAATAACTTTTCATTAACCAGGTACACCAGGCACAGTGGCTCATGCCTATAATCCCAGCACTTTGGGAGGCTGAGGTGGGTGGATCACCTGAGGTGAGGAGTTTGAGAGCAGCCTGGACAACATGGCAAAACCCTATCTCTACTAAAAATACAAAAAATAGCCAGATATGGTGGTGAATGACTGTAATCCCAGCTACTTGGGAAGCTGAGGCAGGAGAATCGCTTGAATCCAGGAGGCAGAGTTTGCAGTGAGCCAAGATCAGGCCATTGAACTCCATCTTGAAAAAGAAAAATGTGGCAGCACATGTCTGTAGTCCCAGCTCCTCAGGAGACTGAAGTGGGAGGAGCACTTGAGCCCAGGAGACAGAGGCTGCAGTGAGCCATGATTTCACCACTTCACTCCAGCCTGAGTGACAGAGCTACACACCTTATCTCTAAAACCATAAAAACCAAAACAAAAAAAAGGTCAGGCATGGTGGCTAACACCTGTAATCCCAGCACTTTGGGAGGCCAAGGTGGGTGGATCACCTGAGGTCAGGAGTTCAAGACCAGCGTGGCCAACATGGTGAAGACCTGTCTCCACTAAAAAATACAAACATTAGCCCAGCGTGGTGGCAGGTGCCTGTAATTTCAGCTACTTGGGAGGCTGAGGCAAGAGAATTGCTCGAACCCGGGAGGTGGACATTGCAGGAGATGGAGGGGCAAGAGTGGGAGCAGGACATCTGGTGAGGAGCTGCCACATCAACATCTTTTGATCACTCCAGGCCATGTGTTGAGCAGGGCCTCTGCAAGAATGTGTCCCAGCCTCAGATGCCTTAATTCCGACACTCAGTGCTGGTGGAGGCCCTGTCAGGTCACACTGTGGAGGCTTCTTGGGAGAGTGTTGGCTCTTCAAAATCAGCATCTTGGTTCATTCCTTTGCTGCTGGAGACAATGACCTGTTTCTCCTCATATGTCTGCTCAAGATAGTTACAAATTTAGTAAAGATGGGGTTTCACCATGTTGGCCAGGCAGGTCTCGAACTCCTGACCTCAGATGATTGGCCCCCGCCTCGGCCTCACAAAGTGCTGGGATTACAGGTGTGAGACACTGCACGCTGCCCTTCTTCCATTCTTGCTCAATTTTTCCTTTTCTTCTCTCTCTTTCTGCCTCTTTTTTTTTCCTTGATATCTTGGAAACCATAAGGAATATATATGAATCTGAATTCCAAGGGCAATTAAAAACATTTTTTTTAGAGACAGGGTCTTGCTCTGTCACTTAGGCTGGAATGCGGTGGTGAGATCTCAGCTGACTGCAACGTCCAGCTCCTGGGCTCAAGTGAGCCTCACAAAAAAAATCATTTCTGGAGCAATAGAGTTTTGCTATGCTGCCCAGGTCTTGAACCCCTGGCCTCAAGCAATCCTCCTGCCTTGGCTTCCCAAAGTGTTAGGATTACAAGAATGAGTCATTATACCTGGCCACTTTTTTAATGGAGAAGAGTCCAAGAAACACTATCTCTGGTAAAAAGACCAGCTAAACTCTTGAAGTGTCGCTTTTCTCCACTCTCCATTTTTTCCCTTTCGTTGTCTCTTAACATCAAATTTCATCGAATGCCTCTAGATACAACTTTCCAATTCTCCTCCTTTTTTTTTTTTCCTGAAGATAGAGTGTTGCTCTGTCTCCTAGTCTGGAGTGCAGTGGAGCAATCTCAGCTCACTGCAACTTCTGCCTCCTGGTTTCAAGCAATTCTCATGCCTCAGACTCCACCGAGTTCCTGGGATTACAAGCACCAGCTAGCATGCCTGGTTAATTTTTGTATTTTTAGTAGAGACGGGGTTTCACCATGTTGGCCAGGCTGGTCTCGAACTTCTCACCTCAAGTACATGCCTGTAATCCCAGCTACTTGGGAGACTGACGCAGGAGAATAGCTGGTACCCAGGAGGTGGAGGTTGCAGTGAGCCAAGATAGCACCATTGCACTCCAGCCTAAGTGACAGAGTGAGACTCTGTCTCAAAATAAATAAATAAATAAATAAATGCTGTTTTTTTCTGCCACCCCAGACTTCAGGAAAAGGAGTTTGGAGCTGTGTCCAAGGATCCCAGCCTTTGCCCTCAATTGCAAACACAGCAGAGTGTCTCTTAGCTCAAGAGTTTGTGCTGCCGAAGAGTTTGCACAAACACAAAGTTGAGAAACATTGCTTGCTGAAAGGGGTGTAAAAGGCAAAGGACAAACCAGTCGTCCTCTGAAGTGGAGACATTTCTATTTTATTTTGGGCTAAGATCTTGGAGAATCAGGCAGGGAACAAATTTTGCTGGTTTTCCAATAAGAGATCCCCTGTGGTAAGAGAGGCTCTTCTCTCTCTACCTGGTGAGTTACTTCCTCTCTTTGGTACCCAATTTTCTCATGTTTATAATTAGGGAGCCAGGCACCATTGCTCACACCTGTAATCCCAGCACTTTGGGAGGCCAATGTGAGCAGATCACAAGGTCAAGAGATCAAGACCATCCTGGCCAACATAGTGAAACCCTGTCTCTACTAAAAATACAAAAATTAGCTGGGCATGGTGGCAGGTGCCTGTAATCCCAGCTACTTGGGAGGCTGAGGCAGGAGAATCTCTTGAACCTGGGAGGTGGAGGTTGCAGTGAGCCAAGAATGTGCTACTGCACTCCAGCCTGGTGTCGGAGCAAGACACCATCTAACTAATTAACTAACTAACTAACTAAATTAAATTAAATAGGGAAGTAAAACCACATGTCCCCTAGGCTCCTTTCCTCTTAGTCTTTCTATGAGTTAATGAAAGAGATTTGTTTTCTTATAAGCATACATCCAAAAAGGTACTCAAGGTAGGTTTTCCATGTTTTCTGGAATTTTGTAACTGCCCCAAATGATGTGGGGTATTTGGAGGAGCAGCTCTTCCTTGCTTCCTTTATTTTTCTTTTATAGATGAAATCTCTCCCTGCCACCCAGGCTGGAGCGCAGTGGTGCAGTCCTGGATCACTGCGACCTCACACTCCTGCCTCAAGTCATCCTCCAATTCCAACCTCTGCAGTAGCTGGGACAACAGGCACATACCACCATGCCCAGCTAAATTTTAAAATTATTTTGTAGAGACAGGGTCTCACTATGTTGCCCGGGCTGGTCTCAAACTCCTGAACTCAAGCGATCCTTCTGCCTCAGCCTCCCAAAGTGCTGGGATTACAGGTGTGAGACAGGGTGCCTGGCCCTTCATTCTTTTTAATAACCTTAATTACCTTCTTTTGAATATCTTTAGAACTACAGTGTTTTTGTCTTTTGAGGCTAGAGTTGAAGCGGATTTCCATAAATAGTCATTTTGAGTCAAGTCTTTTGAATAAAGTGAGTGGCCAGAGATGATGACACAATTTTGGCTAAAACCGTTTCTGAGAGAGCACACCATGAACTCTAAAATGTGCGTGCCAGTCACGGGGCCACAGTTCGCTCTTCTTGCCACACTCAGAATTGCAAATTTATTTATTTATATTTATTATTTTTTGTTTTAGACGCCCACCTACCACTTCAACATCCTCAAGCCCTACGTGGTGATTTTCAACAAGAGTGTGAACATCATGCACGTGAGTCCCTTCAACTCTGGGTCCAGCTGGAGCCTCAGGGTAGAGGGACCACAGGCATATCTGGTCTGGAATTTTGGTTGTACTTTGGGGTCAATGCTCTTCCTCTCTGGGGCTTGGTTTCTCTATCTGTAAAATGGGAATAATAATCTCTACTTAATGTTGGTAAGATCATGTAATGGAGTCATGTCCCTGGCACATGGTAGGTCTCAGAAAGTGTGAGTTTCCATGTTTCTCTCACAGAAACCCTTCATACTCAAGAGAGTAAAAATGAAGATTGCATAGTAGCAATTGCTGAGTACAAACCACCTCAAAACCCATTGGTTTAGAGAAATAAGGGTTTATGAAACCTAGCAAGTCTGCGAGACAGCTGGCTGGTTCTTCTGCATGGGGATGGGATCACTCTTGGTACACAAGCAGCTGTGCGTCAGGCGGGCAGCTTTGCTGATCCTGTCTCAGTTTATTCACTTGTTTGGGGCTTCAACAGCTTCAGGTTGATCTAGGATGGCCTCAGCTGTGACACCTGGACTTTTCTCCATGTGTTTCTCTGCCTCTGGGAGGCACCCGGCTGTGCACATGGCATAGACTTGGTTCTGAGAGACTGAGAGGAGACTGCAATGACTCTGGACAGTCTCTCTGCCATGTTTCCAAGTTCAACCAGGCTGACATCAGCACAGACTCAAAGGGGCGTAAAACAGGCCCCATCTCTTAATAGAAGTTGCTGGAAAATCACAATGCAAAGTGTGTGAATACAAGGAGAAGTGAAGAATTGGGAGTTGGGATTTTGTGAAGTGCTTAGGATGTTTTTCTTACTTGCAAGCTGAGGAGCTAGCTTTGTTAATACTTCATGGATTCTGCCAGGAGACACGAGAGTCCTGGGTCAGAGACAAAGGGTGATTTATTACTCACGGCATAGCAAGCAGCATGTTCTTGGTTTGCATCATTTCTCCAGCCAGATTCCACGGGGTGCCACAGAGAGGTTTCAGTAGTTGCCTGTTCATGCAGTACCTTGCATGGGAGGAAAAGAGCACTAGGCTGAGGGAACTGCTTTTATAGCAAGCAGAAGCAGGCTGGATATTGGTCCAGGGGGAGTCATTGTCTTATCTCTCACTGCTGTCTGCAAACACAACTCTGAGAAACAGCCCAAGTCAGAACAACAGGGTTTTACATTCTTGGCATATCCAGCCAGATGCTCAGGTCTGATGGAGGAGTACCTCTCACAACAGGGAGATATATGTATACTTCATATATATAAAGTATAAAGTGTATATGTAAGGTATAAAATATATTTTAAAATGTTTTATTTTAAATATATAAATATATTTTATAAAAGTGTATATATATATATTAAGTTCTGGGATACATGTGTAGAACATGCACGTCTGTTACATATGTATACATGTGCCATGGTGCTTTTCCCCACCCACCAGCCCGTCATCCCGGTTTTAAGCCCCTCATGCATTAGGTACTTGTTCTATTCCTCTCCCTCCCCTTGTCCCCCACCCCTGACAGGCCCTAGTGTGTAATGTTCCCCTCCCACAACAGGGATACATTTGAAATGAATTTATAGCAAAGGAGATGAGTGAAACCAACATTTACTGAGCACTCACCATTGCCAGAAACAGGGCCATTTGCCAACTCCATAATATATGTTTTCTAATTTAATTTTAATAACTCTGTGAGGTTATGGTTGGTTTTGCCCTATTGCAGATGATGAAACTGAGGGCCAGAGAGATTAGAGACCTCAACAAACTTCAACCAGATAGTAAGTGAGCCAGAAGAGGTGTGGCAGTGATTGTACCCTGGTTTATCCGTCCCCAGGCAGGTTGTCCTAACTGTTACTGAAGATTTGATAGATGGAAGCTTTGGGAGTACAGGAGGTTGTCTAAGAGCACACAGACCACAAGAGGCTGAGCTGAGACTTGGACTCAGGTCTCTCAACTCCCAGCCATGAGTCTTTACCCCCTAATAGTAACACTCTCTGCTCCTATGCAAGGCTGGTCCTCCCTGGGGATGGGTGCCTGGGGCAGGGGAATAGGAGGATGATTGCAGGGATGTCCATCTTGATGTCTGGGTCTGGGAAGGGGCTCTCAGAAGGCAGTTCTCAACTTCAGCTCCGTTTTTCTTTTTCTCTGGCCAGGACAAGTGGCAGCGCTCAGCCTCGGAGGGCAGCACCAGACTGGACATGTTTAAGCACATCAGCCTCATGACCTTGGACAGTCTGCAGAAATGTGTCTTCAGCTTTGATAGCAATTGTCAGGAGTGAGTCCTTCCCTCAGGCCTGAGAACTTGGGCCACGATCTCAAGGGAGTAGGTTGGAAAGGGATGACTGACCAGGGTAACCAGAAGTGCCTTTCTGAAGGAATTGTGTCACAGGGCTTTGAAGGGTGGGGAAGGGGAGAGAGGAAGCATGGTCCTTTCAAGTAGGTAGAAATAACTGAATAATAGGCAAGAAGGCTAGGACGAGGCAAGGATGTGTAACAGAGAGTAGAAATGACATGGTGGAAGTAGACGGGGCTAGACTTCAGGACACAAAATCAGGAAAAGTGGCATGAACTTTATTAAGAGGTTCCCAGGAATCTTTTGGAGTCTGAGCCGATGACATGTGTGGTCACAGAGCTCTGTGGAGGTCTGCCTGTCATGTAGACACTACATGGGGCTGACATTGGATGCAAGTTGGTTATGGTGGGGGCTGAGCCAGAAAGAGTTGGAAGATGGTGAGGTCTGAGTTTTGTGAACAGTTTTCGGAAGGAAGAGTCCAGACTGGATACCGGGTGTGAGAGACAGGAGAGAAGCATGGTGTGCAAGCTGTACTCTGAGCATCTTGGTGCATGGAGGCAGCTCTCAGAGATAGGGTGCCTGGAGAGAAGAGAGTTTGGAGAGTCAAGTCTCCTGGCTGTTTCTGGACGCTCAGTTTCCTGATGGGCGGTAGCTTCTAGCTGCTGGTGAGAAGTGCTCCTGGGACTTTGCATATGTTAAGTTGTTATCTCCTTCATACAGGAAGCCCAGTGAGTATATTGCTGCCATCTTGGAACTCAGTGCCTTTGTAGAAAAAAGAAACCAGCAGATTCTCCTGCACTCGGACTTCCTGTATTATCTGACTCCTGATGGGCAGCGCTTCTGCAGGGCCTGCCGCCTGGTGCACGACTTCACAGACACCGTCATCCAGGAGCGGCGCCGTACCCTCCCCACTCAGGGTACTGATGATTTCTTCAAGGACAAGGCAAAGTCCAAGACTTTAGACTTCATTGATGTGCTTCTGCTGAGCAAGGTGGGCTTCTCTGGGATGTGAGTTCAAGTAACAGAGTGGACATTTATGCCAGTGTCAAATGAAAGAGCTTGGAGTTGATCCAGAGGGCACTGGGAGCCATGGAATACATTTGAAAAAGACAGATCAGAGAGAGGTTTGAGAGATGACTCTGTGGAATTCAGCAGCAGGGGACTGCTACGTTTGAGAGAGTGGGGAGCCTGAGATTTTGCTCTACTTACACATTAGTAAATTAGTGACACGTTTTTATGTGTATCTCTATGTCTATGTCTTTGTCTATGTCTGTGATGACAGATGCACCAAACCCCTGGGTTACAGCAGCCCGTGAATCATTCACAACAGTAGCAGCAACCAGCGTAGGATTGTAGAGCTGGCTCTCCATTCCCAAATTCCTCCTAGGGGAACACAATGATTTACCTGTAAATACACCAGAATGCAAAGCAGAGAGGGGCCCCGCATTATTACATCTTGGAGCTTGTATAGAACAGCTAGCACATCTGCCCCTTCTTCCTTCCAGGGTGAGAGTGAGAATGAGAGAGAGACAGAGAGGGAGAGAGAGGAAAGAGAGAGAGAGATGTTTGCTTTGTTCTGGGGTAAAAACTACTCCTCTCCAGGGAGATGGTCATGCCACTAGGTTTATAGGTTTGTAACCCAGATGCCTTCTGGAAAGATAAGAAGGATTCTCTGAGTTTACCACTCTAGAATGTGAGCAGCTATCTTCAGAGCAATTCTTGATTTCTAACCTCCAGGCCAAATTGCCATCGAAATATGCTGTAACCCAGGTTGCAGTAACACTTTACTCCAAAAGTCCTCATTATCCAGACACAAGAAAATATCCATAGATCATTGACTCTTTCCTGCAGGGCCACATAGGAGGCAAAGAAGCCAGGGGGTTATCTGCGGGTGGTGCGCTCTGACGGTGGTATCCAAGAGACATCCAGGAGTGCATAATGGGCTTGGGTTTCTGGAAGGAGTATGGATCTTCAGAAATTGTTTTAGGTTTGACTCAGAGCCCTCAGAGCTGGTGTGATGTGGGGCATGGGTATTGTCTTGCCTTCTCTCCAGGATGAAGATGGGAAGGAGTTGTCTGATGAGGATGTAAGAGCAGAAGCTGACACCTTCATGTTTGGGGATGAGGGTCTCAGTGTGGGACTACAGTGGGGACAGGAGACTCTCCGTCCCAGGGACGTGGTGGGTAAACCCTAGATCACTCCAATCTGCCCGTCCTCCCCCTCCCTACACTCTCCCTGAGGGCCTGAAAGTATGGCTGCTGTCCACCATCTGGTGCTGAAGCAGCTCAGAAAGCCAGTTTTGCTTGGCTGTCCTTCAGACCATGACACCACAGCCAGTGGTCTCTCCTGGGTCTTATACCACCTTTCAAGGCATCCAGAATACCAGGAATGCTGCCAGTAAGAAGTCTGAGAGCTTCTGAAGGACCATGAGCCTATAGAGATTGTTGAAACCCCCCTCCCCTGCACAGAGACTGTCCGGCAGGTATGGGGCTGGAAGGCTTTGCATAGCCTCAGAGTCCTGGGACCCAAACTTTTACTCAGACCACGGGAGCAGGTGAGGCAAGAGTTGGGCAAGGTAGACCTTTAATCCACCTCATAGACTGGAGTGTGGGCTTATGGCGTTTCTCCTTTCACCCAATTAGCTTTCACTTTCAATGTATCTCTGTGCAGAAGGCTCAACTAGGTGTGTCAGACATTGTAAATCCTCCACATAAATTATAGTTTAACTGGAATACAGAGACCAGGTAGGAGGAGGAGAGGAAAGGTAGAGATATTTATCTCTTCTCCTTTATTAGAAAGAAACCTGGCATAAGAAAGTTCATGCTTCATGGGCCAAAGAGTAAATCAGAAATCTGCAGGGGTGATGCCCATGGTGGTGGTGGTGGGGGGAATTCTCTGCCCTGGGACCTCCCTTGAATTAATTTCTCCCCAGGACAATGGGAAATAACATTTAATCCTTGGAGGATTTTGTTTGTTTGTTTTTTGCCTGAGAGTGACTCTGATCCTGTTTCTCATGGTCGTGCTCCTCAGCATTGTACTGAGTAAGTCACTGGCCTTGTAGCATCTGGAGTGACCCAAGATCCCCAGTTCCCACGTCACAAATGAGGATCCCACATACTTGGGGAAGAAGTGGAACATTATTTCTGGGTGTGTCTGTCTAATCTATTCATCCTATCTGTCTAATTTCTCTATCTATATGTCTGTCTACCTACCTATCCAACCACCAGCCCATCTTATCTGTAAGTTCATCCATCTATTTATCCTATCTATCTATCTATCTATCTATCTATCTATCTATCTATCTATCTCTATCCATCTGCATAATCTATCCATCACATATATCTACTCTCTGTATGTAGCCATTCATCCAGACCCTGAGCGTGTTCCTCTGCACCCAGCTGGCCTGATGCCAGGTTTGGTTGGCTGCCCAGGCACGGAGAGGCACCCAGGCTGTGGGGATTGGTTGGCCCAGCCCAGCCCAGCCCAGCCTTCCACAGACTTCCCTACATCAAGGGCCAGAATCAAACACCTCCCAGCAGAGGGAGAGAGGAGGTTGTGTGGGACAAGCTGCTCCTGACAGAAGGTGCCAGGTTGCGGGTGGCGGGCCTCGGGGGTCCTAGCCTGGGATGGAGAGGGGCATTGCTCAAGGCCCAGGCAGCTCCTGGGTGCTGGCCTGGAGGAGGGGTGGTTTCCTGGTAACTGAAACCAAACCCCTGGCAACCTCTGAGTGATTCAGCCTGGGCCTTTCTGGACTTTAATCAGTCTCTGTGTCCCTCTCTCTCCCATTCTCAGTGCTTACCAGGTCACTGGAGGCCACTGGGCTGCTGGGCCTTTCTGAACTTTATTTCTCAGCTCGTTTACCCATCCCTGAGCCTCCCTGCTCTACCTCCAGCACTGGCCGTCCCTGCCCCTCTCCGCTGTCCCCTGAGCTCCCCCGGCTCTTCCCTGGGCCTCAGGACCTCACCCTCCATCCCGTCCCCCCTGCAGGATGGTGCAGCTGAGCCTGTCCTGGCTGGGCCTCGGGCCGGTGGCAGCGTCCCTGTGGCTGCTCCTGCTGCTGGTTGGGGCCTCCTGGCTGCTGGCCCGTGTCCTGGCCTGGACCTACACCTTCTACGACAACTGCCGCCGGCTCCAGTGTTTCCCGCAGCCCCCAAAACGGAACTGGTTCCTGGGTCACCTGGGCCTGGTGAGTGTGGCAGCAGGCTGGGTCTGGGGTCTCAGGATGGATCGACGTCCTGAGGGGTAAGAATGAGGCTCAGGGAGTGGGGGTGAGGGGGTGGGCTGGGATCTGAGGTCGCAGAGGAGCAGGGGAGGCGTCCTGCTCATTCCTCGGCTTGTTCACTCATTTCTGTGCTATGCCAACCCAAGCCTCCCTCACCACCCTGTCCCCCCACTACTAGCCTGCATTGAATCCTTTTCCTGCCTGTGTTTCCACATTAGTTCCCCTCTGCAGGGCTCCTGGGCAGGAGCTTGAGTGCACAGAGAGGCGAGCCCCTGGCATTCCCACATTCTCCACTGCTGGACTCGAGGCCTCCTGCGCCCACTGTCCAGGGTCCTCTCCCTGCCCGGCCCGTTTCCTGGGATGAGGGTACAGCTGGGCCAGAGGAGAGGTGTGGGCTGTCTCCCACCTCCACCACATCCGGAGGCACCTTCCTCTTATCTTGTTCCTCTCCAGTGAGATGTCCCAATAAGTTCTGTTGCCAAACCCAGATAAAAGTTGGCCACTCACTTCCCCTTTCAGAAACCTCCCCTGACCTTTCTCCTCCCCCAGACCTTGCCCTCTGGCTTAGACCTGCTCTCCCCTTTGGGGAATGTGGTCTCAGTTTACTCATTGCCAATGGCAGGATTGAAGGACATGTCAATTTATCAGGTGAAGTGAAAGGGTGCACGGGACTCACTAGCACAGAGCCTGGTGCAGAAGCTGCTCCCAGGTGGGAGCCACTGTCCCGATGGACAGTTAGAGTCACCGCTGCTTCCCTAGTGGCTGCTGAGAAGGGAAGGTACCCTGTGTGCAGAATCCTCTCCATGGGAGGAACTGGAACCTGTGTGGACCAGCCAGGACATGAAGGGATGTGGGGACCAGCCTTAGGGACATGTCCTGAGGCCCTACTGCTCTCCACAAATCTCCCCTGTGAGGACCTCCTCATATGGCTGCCTCTGGGCTGACATGACTCCCAGAACAAGAAAATCTTTCCTCTCAAGTTAAGTGGGTCTCTGTGAGCAGACAGTGCGTCTTTTCCTTCTGCCCTAGGATGCACCTTTGGGACTTGGAGATGGCCCCGAGAGAGAGAGAGCAGAAAGAATGTAGACAGATAGGTAGATAGGTAATAGGATAGATGGATGGATGGATGCACAGATAGGGAGAATAGATGGCTGGCTGGCTGGATAGGTAGGTGGGTAGGTGGGTAGGTAGGTAGGTAGGTAGGTAGGTAGATAGATGGATAACAAGATGGATTAATGGATGGACAGAAGGATGTATGCATAGGATAGATGAATGGATGGACAGAAGGATGTATGCATAGGATAGATGAATGGATGGACAGAAGGATGTATGCATAGGATAGATGAATGGATGGACAGAAGGATGTATGCATAGGATAGATGAATGGATGGACAGAAGGATGTATGCATAGGATAGATGAATGGATGGACAGAAGGATGTATGCATAGGATAGATGAATGGATGGACAGAAGGATGTATGCATAGGATAGATGAATGGATGGACAGAAGGATGTATGCATAGGATAGATGAATGGATGGACAGAAGGATGTATGCATAGGATAGATGAATGGATGGACAGAAGGATGTATGCATAGGATAGATGAATGGATGGACAGATAGATTCATAGAGTAGTAAATAGGATGGATAGATTAGGTGGATAGATAGCTGATTGATAGATAATAGGATAAATGAATGAATGTACAGATTGGATGAATGAGTAGATAGATATTTAGATAGAAGAATTAGGATGAATAGATTAGATAGATAGATGAATAGGTAGATAGGCAAATTATAGGCTAGATGGATGAATGGATGCACAGATAGGATGAATGGATAGATGATAGATGGATAGATAGATAAGATAGAATGGATGGGTTAGATAGATGGATAGATACGTAGAAACATAGATTAGATAGATAAATATATACATAGATAGATATATAGACATATAGGTAGACATGTAGATAGATAGATAGATAGGCAGAGAGGTAGATAGATGATAGATAGGTACATAGATAGATGGATAGGCAGATAGGTAGGCAGATAGAAGAGGGAGTTTATTATGGAAATTGGCTCATAGGATTATGGTGGCTGAGATGCTTCATGGTCTGCTGTCTGCAGGCTGGAGAAACAGGGACGATGGTGGTGTAACTCAGAGTCCAAAGGCCTGAGAATGTGGAGGTCTGACGTCCAAGAGCAGGAGAAGATGGATGTGCCAGCCCCAGAACAGAGCAAATTAGCCTTTCCTCTGCTTTTTTGTGCGACCTGGGCTCTCAACAGATTGAATGAGCTCTGCCCACATTGGGGAGGCAGTTCTTCCTTCCTCAGTTTACCAAATTGAATGCCAGTCTCTTCTAGAAATGCCCTCACAGACACAACCAGAAATAATGTTAGACTGGCTATCTGGGCATCCTTTAGCCCAGTCAAGTGGACACCTAGAATTAACCATCACAGGAGGTGACAGCCCCTGCCTTGCTTACAGGTCCCTCCCACGGAGCAGGGGATGAGGGTCCTGACTCAGCTGGTGGCCACCTACCCCCAGGGCTTTAAGGTCTGGATGGGCCCCTTCACCCTCATCATCCGTTTGTGCCACCCCAATATCATCCGGTCTGTCATCAATGCCTCAGGTACCACCCGGAATACCTGGTGGTGGGTGCTGTGGTGCGTTTGAAGCCTGCAAGTCCCTCTATCCCCAAGCTCCTGTGTGGCCCCTGAAGTATTCTGACCTCTCCTTTCCTTCCCTCTCAGTCATCTTCCTCTTTCTTCCTTGTATTCACCAATTTCTATCTCAGCATCTCCTCTTTCCATTGCCCTCTGATCCCCTGTCCTGGTGTTCTGGGGTCCCGAGAGACCTCAACCCAAGGCTCAGTCCTGGAGGAACCCCCAAACTTAAGGAGATGGATCTTGACAGAGACATCCCCAACTTCATGGGGTCAGGAAAGGGCCAGAGGGTGATGGATGACAGCCCAGGAAGAACAAGGTCTTCGCTGAGACAGCCGGGAAGGCTTCCTGGAGGAGTTGCTGGAGCTGAGTCTGGAGCAATGAGTAGGAATGTTTCAAAGGACAACGTGGGTGATGCAATTGGGCATCATTAGTATTCAAGGTCCCGTGCCAGGCCCAGCATCACCTTGCCTGTCCCAAAGCCCTGAACAACGAGGAGGGCTTGTGGCTGGTGGAGGATCCAGGCTATTATTTCCATGATGTCCACCTCTCTGGTGTGGGTCAATTCCTTCTACCCTAAAATCCTGTAGCTTGTCTGCTTAAGTTCATTGCTGTCCGCTCTAGGCCCTGGCAGTCTCCAAAGGGAGACTCCACCCCAGCTTGGGACCCTTTCCTTGACCACTGTGCTTACCATCTTGGACAGGCCAGGCCAAATGGGAATGGGCAACATCCTACAGAGACCGTGGCTCTTATCTCAAAATACGAAGTGACTCTGGGCTTGTTCCCAGCTGTCTCTGGTTATTGAGGTTTCTTTCAGTTGTGAGTGGTGGAAACCCAACCTGGTGTGGTCTGAGTAATAAAGGAGAATCTATTGAGTTTAAAGTCCAGGGAGGGTGGCCTTCAGGCATGGCTGGATCCAGGTCTCATACAATGTTACTGGGAATCTGTCTTCCTCTCTTGGCTTTAGCTTTCTCCACTTCACTTTTCCTTTCAAGGCAGCCTTTTCCTCATGACGTCAAGGATGAGTCCCAGAAGCTCAGTTCCCATGGGAAAGCCCACATTTCCCCCAGAGTTCCCAGAAATAGCCCATGATTTACTTGTCCTGGCCTGGGTCACAGGACCAATTTGTCCTCCAGTCCCTGTGTCTCTGATGGCCCAGTCTTGGCAGGTCTGAGACTTCCAGAGCTACTGTTTTGGGGACACAAAGAAGTTTGATGGTTAAGGACTCAGGCCATGGATGCAGACAGACCCAGCCTTAGGCCTGAGGCTTATGGTCTGGGACTGTGGGTAGTGACTTTATCATCCAGAGCCTCAGCCTCTGCATCTGGAAAATGGGATGAATACACCCAGGGAATGTGGTGTGTGACTCCACGTGGGGAAAGACCTTTTCTGTCCGTGTCACTGAAGGACTGGAGAGTCCTGCATGGAGGATGTGAGGAGGAAGCTCACAGAGCTCGGCACTGAGAGGAGGATGAGATGCCGCTTGAAATTCTCAGGGTGAGGGTCTTGACCTCCTCCCTGCAGAGCCTTCTCTCTGACAGCCCAGGAGAGCATGAACTGGGTCCTGTGTGTTTTTCTCCAGATTCACAGCTCGGAGGAAGGTCTCCTTTACACACAAAGCCTGGCGTGCACCTTTGGTGATGTGTGCTGCTGGTGGGTGGGGCCCTGGCACGCGATCGTCCGCATCTTCCACCCCACCTGCATCAAGCCTGTGCTCTTTGCTCCAGGTAGACACCGTGCTGGCCACGCTTTGCCCACAGCTGGGGTCTCTGTGCTGCCTCCAGCTGGTCCCGTGCCCATGTGCAGACAGGAGGGGCCGTGGTGGAGATGCCACTGCCTCCATCTCCCCTGGACTTCCACCTGTCTGACCTCCGTTCCTGTTTGCTCATGTCTGGGGTGTGTCTCTATGATGGCTGTTGTACGGTCAGGTCTGCTGTACGGCCACGTCTTGTCACGTGTAAACTTACACCTGGGTCCTGGTCACGTCTGAAAGATGTTATGCTTGGTTACATCTGGTATAGCATGGTATAGCATTACAACCGGGTCATGTAGAGCTGGTCACGGGAGGGGCTCATCTGTAACCAAGGACATTTGGGGCATGTGAGGCCTGTCTAGCTGTCGTCTGAGATGCTGTTTGACATTGTCATTTTCTCCTGCTGGTCACATCTGGGCCATGTTTGGAGCTTGTGTGAGGTCTGGGACTCACGGTCCCTACACGAACTGTCTGAGACAGTATTTGAGTCTTTTCCAAGGTGTATGTTTGGGTCATGCCTGAGGAACCATCTGGGTCACATGCGGGCTATGTCTGGGACATTAAAGGTACCGCATTTATCTTCTACCTGGAGCCTGTGTGTGAAGCATGCATTTATGGTAGTGTTAGAGCATCTCATGTGCATGTCAGAGCATGCTGTCTCTCCTTGGGAATTGCGATGTGTTTTTGACCATGTCAGGACATGTGAGCACATGTCAGGATCATGCTCCATGTCCCAGGGCCGTGTCAGAAGATGACTTGTTAGAAGATGTCAGAGAGTGCTGGGGCGGACAGGGCATCCTAGGTCCTTGTGAAAGCATTTTGCAGAGTGCTGAGCTATGCTCAGGGGTTGCACAACGCATTAGATCATGTAGGGGGCATGTCGAGGTGTGCTGGAGCCCTGACGTAGCTCCTGCGTGCCATGTTAGGCAGCGCCATTGCTGTGCTGTGCTGCGTTAGCCTGGGCTGCTCTCCTCCCCTCCCCCATCCTCCTTTCTTCCTCTGCCCTTGGCTCCCTTCCTGCTATGCGGTGCTTGGAGGTGGAGAAATGCAAACCTTTGGCTGGGAGCCTCCCACCACCCCCAATGTCCCTCCTTTTCCTGCCTCCATGGCCTGAATGTCCTCATTTATGTCAGCAGCCATTGCACCAAAGGATGAAGTCTTCTATGGCTTCCTGAAGCCCTGGCTGGGTGAGTATCTGCAGGCGAATAGGGTTGCGAACAACCTGGGGGGCCAGAGGAGAGTGCTGCTCATGACCCAAGACCCTTGGCTGCCCTGCCAGGGGATGGGCTCCTGCTGAGTGCTGGTGACAAGTGGAGCCGCCACCGCCGGATGCTGACGCCCGCCTTCCACTTCAACATCCTGAAGCCCTACATGAAGATTTTCAATGAGAGCGTGAACATCATGCATGTGAGTTCTTTGAAGCCAGGGTCTCAGATGCAGCCTTGGGGTGGGGGGACCACAGACAGATGTGGTCTGGAATTTTGTCTCTGCTGAGTGGCATTGGGCCGTTGCTCTTCCCCTCTGACCCTTGGTTTCCTCATCTGTAAAATGGGTAAAATAATCTATACTTAAAAGATGGTTGAGGTGATATAATGGAGTCACATCCCTGGTGCACAATAGGTGACCAGAAGGTATCTGTTTCTATGTTTTTGTCACCCAAGCCCTGTAAACTGAAGAGGGTCATGACGATGATTGCATAGTAGCTGTTGCTGACAAGAAACCATCTGAAAATTCCTTGGTTTACAACAATAAGCATTTGTGATTGTTAATAACTGTGGGACAGTTGGTGGCTTCTTCTGGATGTGGAAGGGATTGCTCGTGGTACATGAGCAGCCTGGGGTCATATAGGCAGCCTTGTGGGTGTTGGCTGAGTTCTCTCACATGTTTGGGTTTTGTCTGGCTTCAGACTGATACAGATGGCCACAGCTGGGACCCCCAGATGTTCCTCCATGTGATTCAGAAGGCACCCCATGGTTCCCAATTCAGTCAGGGTTGCAGGGAGTAACACGTGGCTTAGCTGCATTAGTTATTACCTCATCATTTTCACCACATTGTATTTTGACATTGAAAGCCAATAGTCCCACATAGAATCAAAGGCAGGGGGGTAAAACAGGCTCTGTCTGTTATTGGGAGGTTCTGAAAAATCACATTGCAAAGAGTGAGGCTATGCGGGAAGGGAAGAATCAGGGTAGAGTTTCTGTGAAGTGTCTAGAATTTTTTTAACTTTCAAATCAATGTTAAGCTAGTTACTATTTCATAAACTCTTCTGGAAGAACAAGAAACTCCTGAGTCAGAGATAAAGGACAGTTTTACTCCTCATGACACAGAGAGCAGCATGTGTTTCTTGTTAGACTGCATTTTTTCTCCAAGCTTCCCAAATCCTGTGGGCTGACGCAGGTGTGCCTCTATAAACGCCTGCCGACGTAATATATTGCATTACAGGGAAGAGGCATTAGGCTTAGGAATCTGTTTTTATGGCAAGCAGAAGCAACCTATCCAGGAGGTGTCATTACTTTGTCCCTCAAAGTTATTCTCTGCAAACACAACACTGAGACATTTTCCAAGTTAAGAACAACATCAATGTCTTGCATTCCTGACATACTCAGAAGGGATGCTCAGGACTCAGGGAGGACAACCTCTACAAACATAAGGATATTTTGTCATCAATTTATAACAATGCAGATGAGGAAACCCAACATTTATTAAGCACTCACCATATGCCAGAAACAATGCCATATGCCCATTCCATGATATGAGTATATATATTTTCCAATTTCATTTTAACAACTCTGTGAAGGAGAGATTGTGTATTTCTGCCCCGTGGTAGGTCATGGAACTACAGGTCTGAGATATCTGGGAGCTAACTCAAGCTCACCCAGCTAATGAGTGAGCTTGGCATGGACCCAAGCTGGGTAGATGGGGGAGGGAGGACTGAGAGTGGAAATCAGGAGAACCTTCCTGGAGGAGTTTTGTTACAGCTGATCATTGAAGGACTGGCATGAATTTTATTTTGAGTTTTCCAAGGAGCCATTGAAAGGGTTGGAGCTGGTGGGTATAGTCAGAGCGGGTCTCTGTCAGGAACTGACTATAATGCAGCACTAAATGGACTTAAAATGGATGCAAAGAGGCTAGTGTGGAGGCTGGAGCATCGACCAGGTGGAGGGGAGTACATTCTAAGGTTTGTGGCATTCTAAGGCATAACGTGAATTATATGGCTCTAAAGCACATCATCTTAACTGTTCCTGAGGATTTGACAGGTGGGATGTAGGGGAGGGTAAGGAGTTGACTAATGGCACACGGAGCACAGGAGGCAAAGCTGGAACTTGAACCTAGGTCTCTTGAGTCCCAATCTTGGGTCTTCATTTCTTAATAGTAACAGCCTTTGCTCCCACCATAAGCTCGTCCTCCCTGCAGAGGGGTCCCTGGGGAGAAGATAAAGAGGCTGATTCTGGGGGGTCCCTCTTGGTGGTTGGAGTTGGAGAGGTACTCAAGGGAGCAAAGGACCTGCACCAGCTCTGTCCCCTTCTCTGGCCAGGGCAAGTGGCAACGCCTGGCCTCAGAGGGCAGTGCCCGTCTGGACATGTTTGAGCACATCAGCCTCATGACCTTGGACAGCCTGCAGAAATGCGTCTTCAGCTCTGACAGCCATTGTCAGGAGTGAGTTCTTGCCCAGGGTCTGGGATCTTGGGACATGGACCCAAGCTGGGTAGATGGGGGAGGGAGGACTGAGCATGGAAATCAGAAAAACCTTCCTGGAGGAGTTTTGTTACAGCTGATCCTTGAAGGACTGGCATGAACTTTATTTTGAGTTTTCCAGGGAGCCATTGAAAGGGTTGGAACTGGTGGGTATAGTCAGAGCGGGTCTCTGTCAGGGACTGACTGTAATGCAGCACTAAATGGACTTAAAATGGATGCAAAGAGGCTAGTGTGGAGGCTGGAGCATCGACCAGGTGGAGGGGAGTACATTCTAAGGTTTGTGGACAGTTTCAAGGAGAAGGGGCAGGACCGTGTACTGGGAGGGAGAGAGGAGTATAATGTGCAAGCTGTTCTGGGTGCCTAGCGGCATGGAGGCATCTCACAGAGACTGGATGCAGGGGAAGAAGAGAGCTTGGACAGTCAATCTCATGCTGATCCCCACCTGTATGGGAGGGGTCATCTGTTTCTGGATATGTGTTTGCCCATAGGAGGTAGCTCCTGGCTGCTGGTGGGAGGTGCTCCTGGTGTTTCAGGTGCATTAAATTGTTGCCTCCGTTTCCGCCCTTATCCTGCAGGAAGCCCAGCGAATATATCGCCGCCATCTTGGAGCTCAGTGCCCTTGTGGTAAAAAGACACCAGCATCTCCTCCTGCACACGGACTTCCTGTATTATCTCACCCCCGATGGGCGGCGCTTCCGCAGGGCCTGCCGCCTGGTGCAGGACTTTACAGACGCCGTCATCCGGGAGCGGCGCCGCACCCTCCCTAGCCAGGGTGTTGACGACCTCCTCCAAATCAAAGCCAAGTCCAAGACTTTGGACTTCATTGACGTGCTGCTGCTGAGCAAGGTGGGCTACTCCGGGATCTGAATTCAAGAAGTAGAAGGGAGTTGTGTGTCAACTGTCAGATCAAAGAACTTGGGTTTCATCCAGAGGGCACATTTCTGGGGAGCCAGAAATGGGCTTGATGAAGAGAGAGACACGTCAGAGATAGGTTTTGGTAATAACTCTGTGGAATGCACCTGGCAGGGCACAGCTAAATGAAATTGTGAAGAGTCTGAGATTTTACTCTATTTATAAGTTAATAAGCGAATCAGTCACATTTTAATCTATAATTATATCTATGGCTGGGTCTATGTTTATGCTTTTGCCTGTGTCTTTCTATATGTTTGTCTCTGAGTTTGTGTCTGTCTGACTTTGACTATGTCTGTGCCTTCGTCTTTGTCATTGGCCATATCTGTATGTCTTTGTATCTGTGTCTCCATCTTTGTCTATGTCTATGCCTTTGTCCTGTATTTTCTTTTCTTTTGCTTTTTTGTTTGTTTGAGACAGTGCCTTGCTCTGTCACCCAGGCTGGAGTGTAGTGGCCCGATCTCGGCTCACTGCAACCTCTGCCTCCGAGGTTCAAGGGATTCTCCTGCCTCAGCCTCCTGAGTAGTTGGGGCCCTACATTATGAGTCTCAGCACATTTTCTACTGAGAGAGAGACAGAGAGAGAGAGAGAGGCAGAGAGAGACAGAGAGAGAGACAGAGACAGAGAGAGAGACAGAGAGAGAGAGGGCACGAGCTTTGTGAGAGATGATGTTCTTTGTTCTGGATGCCATATTCCTTAGACTTGCAACCCAAATGTCTCCAGGGAGACAAGATTCATTTACCACTCTAGAATGTGAGCAAATATCTTTGGAACAATACTTAATCTCTAATCTCCAAGGCAAATTGGCATTTAATTATCCTGTAACCCAGGTTGCCAGTAACCTTTTCTCAGAAAGTTGTCATCATGCAGAAACACAAAAGCATTCATGGGTCATTGAGTCTTCCCAATAGGGACCCAAGAGGAGGCAAGGAAGCCAGGGAGGAAGCCCATGGGGTGGGGGCTCTGGCCATAGCGACCAAGAGGGGTCTAGGAGTGCAAGATGGACTTGGGTTCCTGGAAAGAGGATGAATCTTCAGAGATTGTCTCAATAAGACTCAAGAGCCTTCAGATCTGGTGACTTTTTATGGTGGGGTGCTTGCGGGGATTGTTGCCTTCTCTCCAGGATGAAGATGGGAAGGAGTTGTCTGATGAAGACATAAGAGCAGAAGCTGACACCTTCATGTTTGAGGGTGAGGGTCCCAGTGTGGGACTATAGGGAGACTGGGATCTCTCCATTCCAGGAATGTGTTGGGTGGACCCCCTCAGCCTTCCCATTCCCCTTCCCCCATCCTCCCTGAGCTCCTCAGTCTATGGGTGCTGTCCACCTTCAGGTGCTGAAGCAGCCCAGAGACCCAATCCTGTCTTGCTGCCCCTCAGGCCATGACACCACGGCCAGTGGTCTCTCCTGGGTCCTCTACCACCTTGCAAAGCACCCAGAATACCAGGAGCGCTGCAGGCAGGAGGTACAAGAGCTTCTGAAGGGCCGTGAGCCTAAAGAGATTGAATGGTGAGTGAGGGTGCTGGTGGCTGTTCCTGAGCCCCTCTCATTGGCTCTGCTCTCCAGGTGGGGAGGGGAGGAAGAGTTGATTCAGCCACTATTGCTTAGTGGGAATAGGAGCAGAGGACCACAGGCAGGGCTTAATACCTGCCCGAAGGTTGCAAGCCCTTAGGAATGAAAGACCCGGGCTGCTGAGAGAACTGGTGATGATATGTGAGGACAGATAACGCCACTTAGCACATGTTCAGCAAACGAACTTCCCCTCCACTCTCTTCCTTTTCTCCCAGAAATATAAGTTTTTTGAACGTCTTCACTTCTTGAGTGTTTGCTCTTCTGTTGCCTAATTCCTACCCTCCTGTCCAGTCCTGGGATTTATAAGGCAGACCTGGGGGTAAACGTCATCCATTCTTGTCCAGAAGACCTGCACCATGCATCCATCCAGTCCTCGTTCAGCAGACGCTCCCACACTGCACTTCACCCCCACGTCTGCACACAGCATCTTTCTGTGCTCTGGAGACCTGGGAAGGACCCAACCCAGGGTTCTGTTTTCCAGGTGCTCCCAGCCTGGTGGGGGAACCGTCCCTGGTCAGGATACTCGCAGCCCACATGGGCAGGGATGGAGCTTACAGTAAGAGAAGCATGACTGGGGGTATAGAAAGTGTCTCAGTTGAGAACCTGAATAATGATCAGTAGCTAATTGGGTACAGTTGGGGAACAGTGCTCTAGGTCAACAAGACTGCCTCGGGTCTTCAGGGGGAGGAAGAGAGAGAGAGAGCAGAGTCGGGACAGAAAGGAGAAGGGGAGAAAGAGGGAGAGACTGAGTCATGGTGAGATGATAAAACTGGAGATGGTAGAAGGGGCTGTCTGGGGAAGCCTTTGGAAAAATGTTAATGTATTCCGTTTTAACCCAAGGGCAATGGGGAACCATGGGAAGTGTTTGAGCAGGGGAGGGACAGGTCAGAGTTGGGTACCAGGAAGTCCTTTCTAGGGCTAGTGTGGAGGGTGCACTGGAGAGGACCAGCTGTAGAATGAGGGCACAGGGGGGACATTCTGAGGCCTGAGCAAGGCCAGGGCCTGGAGGAAGGAGAGGAAGCATTGGAGTGGACAGATAGCTTGGATTCAGTGTCCTCCTGTCCATGCCTTTGCTCAGCACAGCAGTCCTGGGAGGGGAAGAAACATTTTTATGCTTTGAAAATCAAGAATTTTTTTTGCATTTTTATTTTTTGAAACATATTTTTATTGATGCATAACAGAGGCACATAGTTTTGAAATACATGTGATAATCTAATATATTTATATAATCTAATATATTCATATAATTGATAAAGATCAAATCAATGTACTTGGGATATCCATCGTCAGAAATATTTGTCTTTTCTTTATACTAGAAACATAACTAACATAAACAAACTATTCTGGAATGTACAGTACACATTGTAAGCTATAGTGAGACCACTGATCTATCAAGCGCTAGGTTTTATTTCTCCTGCCAAACCTCATATTTGTACCCGTTAATCAACTTCTCCTCATCCCTTCCTCCCCTCTACCAATCTACCTTCTATTTTCATGAGACCCATGTATTCAGGTTTCACACATGAGTGAGAACATGTGATATTTGTCTTTCTGTGCTTGGCTTATTTACTTACCACAATGACGTCCGGTTCCATCCATGTTGCCACAAATGACAGAATTTCAGTCTTTTTAATGGCGGTATAATATACAAACCACATTTTCTTTATCCATTCATCAATGAATGAGCACTTAGGTTGATTCCATCATTTGGCTCTTGTGAATAGTGCCACAATAAACACGGAAGTACAGATATCTCTTCAATAGATTGATTTTCTTTCTTTGGGATAGAAATTTCTTCTCTTTCTTTTCAGTAGTGGAATTTCTTGGTTTTATGGTAGTTCTAGTTTTAGTTTCTTGAGGAACCTCTGAGCTGTTCTCGACAGTGGTGGTACTAACTTACATTCCCACCAACAGTGTGTGAGAGCCCCCTGTCTCCACATCCTCACCGGCATCCATCATTACCTGTCTTTTTGATAAAAGTTATTTTAACTGGGATGAGACGATAACTCATTGTGGTTTTGATTTGCATTTCTCTGACAATTAATGACATTGAGCATTTTTTTCCATCTACCTCTTTGCCATTTGTATGCCTTCTTTTAAGAAATGTCTATTCAGATCTTTTGCACATTTTAAAATCAGACGATTTGGTTATTTTTCCTATTGAGTTGTTAGAGCTGCTTATATATTCTGGTATATTCTTATATATTAGCTTGTCAGATGGGTAATTTGAGAATGTTTTCTGCCATTCTGTGGGTTGATTCTTCACTTTGTTGATTGTTCCCTTTGCTGTGCAGAAGCTTTTTCCCTTGATATAATTTCATTTCTCTATTGCCATGCTTTTAAGGTTTCACACAGAAAATCTTTGCCCTGACCCATGTCCCAGAGTATAAAACCAAGATTTCAAGCAAAGGCCCAGAAGACTTAATGAGAAAAATGAGCTTCCTTATTAAGCTCCACCTTAGCGGTGACTACGGGCAACAGTGTTCTGTGTATTCTTCCAGGAAATGGCTATCCCGATGCCCACATTTATATGAGCCCACACTGTGATATTTATTTCTATGAACACACACTGTGCTTTTCCTTGTAAATGAAAGTACATGAAATGGACAGGTCTGTACACTCTCTGAGATCCTTTACTTTTCTTAAAATATAAATTTTGGAAAACGGGTTTGCTTTTAAATGTGTTATCTTTAATTGACAAGTTTTAATTATATATGTTTAGAGGTACAGTGTGATGTCATGATGCATGTATACAACCTGAAATTATTGAATCAAGGTAATGAACAAATCCATCACTTCATGTATTTATCATCTTTGTGCAAGAACATCTGAAATTTACTCTCTCAGCGATTTCAACTAATACAATATATTGTTCACTAAAGGCACCACGCTGTGCAGCAGGTCTCAAAAACTTACCCTCTTGTCTAACTGAAGCTTCTACCCTTTGACCATCGTCTCACCCTTCCCTGTCCCTCCCCTAGCCCTGGCATCTGGTAACCACCATTCTACTCCTATTTCTATGAGCTCGACTATTTTATGTCCCAAGATAAGTGTGTGTTTGTCTTTCTGCACCTGAATTACTTCACTTAGTGTAAGTTCATCCGGGTTCTTCCATGTTGTGGCAAATGAGATAATTTTATCTTTTTAAAAGGCTAAATGGTATTCCATTGTGTGTATATATATGTCAGATGGAAAAAGAGCATTAAATTCCAAAACCAATGATAAAAGAGAGTTCTTCTTGCACAAATGAGACATTACAGATAAGACTGGGGTTTTCCTTGACAATCCTGCCACCCCACCTAATCCTCTCTCATTCTCCAAAGGTGTCTCTAAGCCATAAATTTATCTGTCTATCATCTCTATCATCTATGTATCTATCAGCTATATGACTATGTATCTATCATCTATTATCTATTTATTTGTCTACCTATTATCTATGTGTCTTTGTATCTATGTATCTTTATATCTCTCTATATCAGCTATCTATCATCTTTCAATCAATCAATCACCTATCTCTCCATCATCTATCTATGAATCACTCATTTTATAAATATATTTCCATATGCTTTCTGCTCTTTTACACGTACATGTGTATATGCTTGTAACTTTTTTCACTCAACAGTGTGCCTTAATGCTGTTTTTTTCTGAGTGCTGTATATTTTATTCCATCTTTTATTCAGCTCATTTCTACATTGAAGAGGACATTAAATGTTTTTAATTATAGTAGATATTTACAATTTGCCTTCCAGAGTGTCTGTACTGATTTACCTGCTAGCCTGTGGTATGTGATGAGATCAGTGATCCCTATTTTCTCCTTTTGTTTAGCTGTGTAGTATTCCATTGTGTGGGTGTTTACCTAAACATTTTCCCACTAATGTATATTTGGCTTGTCCCCAAATTTTTGCTAAACTGGACACAATGCAGTCAGCCCGTGTGTACAGTGAATCATTCCTTACATGTACAAGCATCTCTGCAGGACAAATTTCCTGAAATGCCATTGCTGAATCAAAGACCATTTGCACTGTACAATTTTTTTTTAGACAGAATTTCACTCTTGTTGCCCATGCTGGAGTGCAATGGCATGAACTCAGCCTTTGCCTCCCAGGTTCAAGGGATTCTCCTGCCTCAGTCTCCCGAGCAGCTGGGATTATAGGCACCCACCACCATGCCCGGCTAATTTTTTGTATTTTTTTTTTTTTAGTAGAGATGGGGTTTCACCATGTTGGCCAGGCTGGTCTTGAATTCCTGACCTCAGGCAATCTGTCTGCCTCAACCTCCCAAAATGCTGAGATTACAGGCATGAGCCACCGTACAAGATGATTGCAAATCCTTTACTATTAGTTGAGTTTTATGGCAAAACTTTCCCATAACTTTGCTGATAGTACTGTCGTATTATTGAGTTTTAAATCTTGGCCAATCTGCATATTTCTTCTTTTGATGGATATTTAAAAAAATAAGAGTGAGGCTGAACATCTCTTGTACATGTTGATGTTATTTGCTTTCTTTTTACGGAACTGGTGTTTTACTATTTTTGCTCTTTTTCTCTGGATTTTTTAAAAGCATTTACTTTTAAGAATGTGTATTAAAATTGATCTTTTTTTCTCTCTTGTGTTGCAAAATATTGCCTCAACTTTTGAAGGGCATTTTTGAATAATTTCTACGAAGTTAAATTGGCCCACATTTTTCTTTCACAACTGTAAAATCCGTGCATTTCCCAGGATTTTGTTTGGGGGACATGCGGACCCCTTCACCAAATGTGAAGTTTTTACTTACTCTCATGTCTTTTTCTGAGCTCTCCGTTCTGTTCCATGGGTTTATTTTCTTGTTTTTGCAATAGTGCCACACTGTTTTTATCATTCCTGTGACTTTGTAACAATTCTTTTAAAAAGTTAAAAATAAAATAAAAGGTCTCACTTGCACACAGAGAAGCTGGAGAGTAGTGTCTTGGCTCCCTCGATAATGACTGGGGCTGGGTGTTTCCTTAGGGATGACCTGGCGCGTCTGCCCTTCCTGACCATGTGCATGAAGGAGAGTCTGCGGTTGCATCCCCCAGTCCCTGCCGTCTCCCGCTGCTGCACCCAAGACATTGCTCTCCCAGACGGCCGGGTCATCCCCAAAGGTGCGCACAGCCTCAAGGGGAGGAGACTCCAGGTTAGGAAGACGGGCCCCTCAGGCAGGGAGGCCTTGTCCTGACTGCCCCCTGCTCTCCCACAGGCGTTATCTGCCTCATCAGTGTTTTCGGAACCCATCACAACCCAGCTGTGTGGCCAGACCCTGAGGTGCGCCCCGCCCCTCCCTCTCCCTGTTTTTGTCCATTCCAAGGCTCCTAGAGGAGGGGGCAGGGTTTTGATCAGGAGAATCCAACATCACCTCCCTCCAAGACACACACAACTCTCTGTCTCCCCAAGGCTGGCGGTCTTGGGAGACCCCACCCAGCAAGCCTCCTTGGTCTCACCTCCAGGTCTATGACCCCTTTCGCTTTGACCCAGAGAACATCAAGGAGAGGTCACCTCTGGCTTTTATTCCCTTCTCGGCAGGGCCCAGGTAAGGGCTGCCTGTGTCTGAGGCGGGGACGGGGTGATGAGTATGGGGGTCTGGGCATGACAGTGGGGAAAAGGAGGACATTGTAGATGGTTCGAGTTCTAGCTCTCCTTCCCTCCCTTCCTCTGGAGTTTACGGGTGATCCATAGAATAGGGTTGGGTTGGTGCTAGAAGGATCCCTGGTGTGCTCAGAACACTTTCACACCCTATCCTTGGTCTAGGTTGGAGGCTGGATCTGGGCTAGGCCCGCAGGATATGTAAGCCCACATGGGGCTCCAGGCACGGATGCTCACTTTCTCTGTCCCTCAAGCTGACCTGGGCGGGGTTAGGTATCCCAGCCCAGGTTCCCAGCTTGATGGGTCCAGGATGGGGTTCTGCCAGGTTGCAGTCAGAGTTCCCACCCTCTTCTCCCAGGAACTGCATCGGGCAGGCATTCGCGATGGCGGAGATGAAGGTGGTGCTGGCGCTCACGCTGCTGCGCTTCCGTGTCCTGCCGGACCACATGGAGCCGCGCAGGAAGCCGGAGCTTGTCCTGCGTGCGGAGGGCGGACTTTGGCTGCGTGTGGAGCCCCGGAGCTGAGGTCTGCAGAGACCTACTCTACCCTTCCTAAAATGACCCCTGATTCATCAAAAGTGAGGCATAGAATTACCATATGACTCTATTCCACTGTAAAGCTTTCCATCCTAGATGTATACTCAAAATAACTGAGAAAGGTGTTCAAACAAAAAGACGCCTGTGCGTGAATGCTCACGGCAGCCCTATTCACAGTAGCCAAGCGATGAAAACAACCCCAGTGTATATATTACCAGATGAAGGCATAAACAAAGTGTGGCCCATCCATACAGTGGAATATTACACAGCCATAAAAAGGACTGAAGCGCAGATCCATACACTATGGATGAACCTTGAATACATGATACTGAATGAAAGACATCAGATGCAAAAGGTCCCGTAGTGTATGATTCTTTTATCTAAAATTTCCAGAACAGGCCAATCTGAAGAGATGTAAAGCAGATTGGTGGCTTTCAGGAGCTGTGGGGAGGTGGGACTGAGGAGGACCTGCTAATCAGGACAGGGTTTCCTCCCGGGATGGTAAAAATTCTCCAGATCCAGATAGTGATGAAGGGAGCATGACATTGTGAGTGCACTAAATGCTATTGAACTGGACACTTTGAAATGGTCAAAACGGTGAATTTTATTTTATGTGAATTCTACCTAAAAATGATGTAATAATTCATATATATTTTTTCCATCTGGATTATTCACTCAGGAATATGTTGTGAGCATCTTTCCATGACATTAAATCATCTTAGGAAACATTATTTTGTGTTTTTTTAAAATGTGCATGTTAAGTATTCAAATCAGTCTTAAATTTTTAAGAAGACATAATGTTAGCAAATAATTTAAAAAGGTTTTGCCTCAGTTTGTAAGAATTGTTTCCATGCACATTAATGGCTTGAGACATCATTATCAGTTACAAATCGAGTCGTTCATCAAAGGACTTTTGGGGTGGAGATTTTATTTTTATAGCAATAGATGCACAAATATTCCTATAAGATACAGGTGTGGTTAGAGACTTTTCTAGAACAGGTATGTCCTACAAACTCCACGGACACTGGCTGTTTTGGTCCTATTAACAAGTAGACCACTGAGAAAGGAGAAGGTGACATTTTAGCTTTTCCCCAGGTAAACGTGATTTTCATGCTCACACTCATCTTATGGAGTGGATGTTAACTCTCTTGCTCAAGGTCACTCAGTGAGTGGCAGAGTGGGGATAAATCTGATCCATTTGGTATCAGAGGTCATGCCTTATCCTACCACAGAAGTGATTTTCAGAGTGAGTCTTAGCCCTAGGCACATGAGATCACCTGGGAGCCACTCCAGAGTGAGTAGATGAGACTCTGACAGGGGGTGCCTAAATTTTTAAATGTAATGCTGTTGATAGGAAATACATTCACTCATGTAAAAAGTTAAATGCACAGTGACAAGTATTGGTGAAGTGTTGGTGCTACACATATCCTTTGACTGCCCAGTTTCTCCATCTTTCTAAAGGTAAACACTTTAACTCTTTGGGTACCCTTTCTAGCCTGGCGACAGAGTGAGATTGAGTCTCAAAAAAGCAAAAAACAAAACCCACACTGTTTCCAAAGCATCTGCATTGTGTGTTTAATTTCCATAAATAATGTATGAGAATTTCTAGGTCCTCTAAATAATTAGCAGCCCTTAGTAGTGTCAGTTTTGGTTCCAGCCTTCCTTATGGGTATGCTGTGGCACATCCCTGAGATTTTAATTCGCATTTCCCAGTGATTAATGGTGTTGAACCATTCATGCCTTCATGTACCTATTTGACATGCCTATATTTTCTTTGGTGAAGTGTCTGTTCAAATAATCTGCCTATTAATTTTTCCTTAGGCTGTTTGCCTTCTTATTGTTGGATTTTGAGTGTTCTTTATAGATTTTGTGCACAAGTCAGATGTGTTATTTACAAGTATTTGTCAGATGTGTGATTTACATGTCTTTTTCCTAGACTCTGAAGTTTCTTTCCTAGACAAAACATTTTGAATTGTTTTGAGGTAATACTTACCAATTTTACTTCTTTATGAATTATGTTTACATTGCCATATATAGGAACTCTGCTTAACTGGAGTTTATGGAGATTTTCTCCAACATTTTCTTTTAAAAGTTTTATAGTTTTAGATTTTACATGTAATTATATGGTCAAAATTTATTTAGTTAAATTTTGTATGGGGTGTGAACTATGGTTTGACTGTTTTTTTTTTAAATAGCTATCCAATTGTTCCATACAATTTTTTTGGAAAGAGTATCCTTTTTGCATTAACTTTCCTTACAGGTTTGTAGATCACTCAATTGTTTAAATTTGGGTGGATATATTTCTAGATTTTCTATTCTGTTTCGTGCTGGCCCAGTACCACACTGTCCTGGTTACTGTAGCATTATAGTATGTCTTTAAAGGAATAATGGGAATGCTTCAACTATATATTTTTCCAAATAATTTTTGGCTATTCTGCATCCTATGTGTTTTTATGTAAATTTTATGATCAGTGTGTCTATTTCTACAAATAGTCCTGATAGGATTTTAATTGAAATTTATGTGAATCTATAGATCAATCTGAGGAGACTTAACAATGATATTGATTATTCCAGTTCATGAACATAGTATACCCTGCCTTTATTGTCTTCTTGGATTTCTTTTATCAGTGTTTTGTAGCTTTCACCATGACAATCCTGCACGTATTTTGTTAAATTTACAGCTGGGAATTAAATTTTTTTCTAGTGTACAATGCTAATAAAATGGTGATTTAAAAGTTGTGTTCTTCAGTTGTTTATTGTTAATACATGATAGAAGTTTGCATCCTGTTTTTGTAAAAGGCCACAGAATCAATATTTTAGGTCTTGCATGCCCTATCTGGTTTTTTCTTCTCTTTCTCCTTCTTCGCATTGCACCTCCTTTTAAAATATAAAAACCACTATTGGTTCATAGGCCATGCATACACAGTACATAGGCCATATTTGATCCATAGACCATGGATTGCTGACCCTGGGATATAGGAATAGAGTTGATTTTTGCACGTTGCCTGTGTATCGGCTCATTCTTATTGGAACACAATAATGCTGTTATTTTTTCAGTCTTAAAACAATTCCCCTTTTGGCTTCATTTTCACACCAGCTGTTGCTCCATTTCTTTGCCCCACTATCAGCAAACTCCTTCAAAGAGTGATGCACACATGGGGTGTCAAATGTCTCCTCTCCCACTCCAAACAGGCATTGAAATTCCTCAAAGGGGAGTGATGGTTTATGAATGAGATGTAAACTCACAGGACCCACAGGACTCTGCCACACCTGTGCATGTAATTTTCAAAACACACTCAGGCCTGGTCTTGTTACTGGCTGCTGTGGGACCTTCATCCTTTTCTGAGTGTGAAGGAGTCACTCTCTGCTGGACAGTTTGGGGACAAATGACCCTACGGGGTCTTTGTTAGTTTCATTGTGTGTATGTGTGAGAGCAAGACAAAACAGAGAGAGTGTGTGGGTATGTGACTGTATGTGTTTGTGTGACTGTGTGCAGTATCGTAACAGCACATGTGTGTGTATGCATGCAGGTGCATATGTGAGTGTATGTAACTATGTGGGTGTGTGTGTGTGCACACATGTGTATGTGCTTATGCCCTGTATTGGTGTTTGAGTGTGGTATGTGCATGTGTGAGTGTTGGAGTCACTGAGAGACTCTTTTTTTTTTTTAAGATGGGGTTTCACCATGATGGCCAGGCTGGTCTTGAACTCCTGACCTCAGGTGATCCACCCACCTCGGCCTCCCAAAGTGCTAGGATTACAAGCATGAGCCACTGCACCCGGTTGTCACTGAGAGACTCTAACGGTCCACATGAGGCTATCTTCTTGCTCCTGTGTTCCTGTCTTTAATCTATCATTAAGTAGAAATGGCACACACATGCTTGGGGCTGACCATGTGTCTGGGAGCATTGTTGTAAACACTTTACTCATTTTTTTTTCTTTTGAGATGGAGTCTCACTCTGTTGCCCAGGCTGGAGTGCAGTGGCATGATCTCAGCTCACTGCAACCTCCACCTCCAGGGTTCAAGCGATTCTCCTGCCTCAGCCTTCTGAGTAGCTGGGACTACAGACATATGCCGCCATGCCTGGCTAATTGTTTGTATTTTAGTAGAGATGGGGTTTCACTGTGTTGCCCAGGCTCCTGAGCTCAGGCAATCTACCTGCCTCTGCCTCCCAAAGTGCTAGGATTACAAAAGTAAGCCACGGTGCCTGGCCAACACTTTGCTCATTTTAACTCAATTTTCATGATAACCTTGTTATTAACCCCAGTTTTCAGGTGAGAAAACTGAGACATAGACAGGTAAAAAGACTGGCTCAAATTCCCATTGCCGGTTGAGAGCTGAACCATGCAGCCTGCACCTGGAGGCCCTGTTCTTCACCAGGCTGCTGTCAGAGCCACCATCAGAGCCCCCACTCCTGTCCCAGGTCTGACCCTTGCAGTGCAGGCAGCACATTCTGGAGAAATCATGCCCTTAGGAGCATCCCTGAGTAATGACTGTTGGATATCAGTAGATAAGTAACCCGGCTCCCTCCCTGTGGATGGGATGACTTTCAGCTACTCGGGAGGCTGAGATATAAGAATCACTTGAATCTGGGAGGCAGAGGTTTCAGTGAGCCAAGATCACACCATTGCACTCCAGCATGGGTGACAGAGTAAGACTCCGTCTCAAAAAAAAAAAAGCAGAATCCCATCCTTTTTGCCCCCTTTCAGCAATGTTCTTGAGGTCCCCTTTCTTGGTTTTGAAGTGGCTCATTTTTCTGGGGTAATACCTGAGGTTTGTTGCCCCATGCTAAGGAAATCAAGGACAGGGACACACACATGGAGTGAATTTAAGAGTGGAGGTTTAATAGGAAAAAGAAAGAGAAAAGGAGAACAGTTCTCTCTCCTGTGAGAGAGGGAGCACCTGAATGGGAATTCCTGCCCACCCTGGAGTGCGAGTGCAGGGGATTTTATCAACTGGCTTGAGGAGGAGGTGTCTGATTTACATAGGGCCCCAAAATTGGTTGGACCAGGTGTGACCTTTACAAAGCACAGGAGGAAGCTGGCTGCCCCATTCTCATCTTCTTTTATGCAAATGAACTTTCCACTTGGCCTGGCCATATTGTCTGCTCCCTACTGGGCATGTGGTTGTTGAGGGAAAGGGAGGATGGAGCCGCCATTTTGGACATGCCTAGTCTCCAGTTTGCCCCTTTCTTATTGGCTCAGCTGCCTGTATTCACCCTTGCAAGCTTCTAGCCTGCCTATAGAGGAAATGCAGATGGTCATGTCTGGAGCTCAGCTGTGGCTGAGTATTTAGGGCATGTGGGGTCTGTCTGGTTCTTGTCTGAGATGCTGTTTGAGATGGTCTTTTTCTCTTCCTGGTCACATCTGGGCCATGTTTGGAATGAGCCCAATGTCTGGGACTCAGGGTGCCTTTGTAAATGTCTGCCACTTGATTTCACAGGCTGCTTTTTGTTAGAAAAAAAAATGATTTGGGGACAGCTTTTCATTAAAAGGAAAACCTTACCAAGGACTTCCTCACCCTCACTCGCTGCCTAAATAATTTCTTCTGAACTCCTACATCAGTTTGGAATAAGAAACACCCTTTCCTCTCCACAGGGATGGTCTCTACAGCATTTATTGAACAGGGAGCCCTTTCTCCATTGGTTGTTTTTGTCAGGTTTGTCAAAGGTCAGATAGTAGTAGGTGTGTGGTCTTATTTCTGGGCTCTCTATTCTATTCCATTGGTCTATGTGTCTGCTCTTGTACAAGTACCATGCTGTTTTGGTTACTGTAGCCCCGTAGTGTAGTTTGAAGTCTGGTAGGCTGATGCCTCCAGCTTTGCTCTTTTTGCTTAGGATTACCTTGGCCATTTGGGCTCTTTTTCGGTCCCACATGAATTTTAAACCATTTTTTTTCTAGTTCTGTGAAGAATGTCAATGGTAGTTTAATGGGAATGGCACTGAATTACAAATTGCTTTGGGCAGTATGGCTGGGCCAGATTTCATCACCACTGTGAATTGGCAGGGCACCTGGTTCCTGCTTTCTCCTGGACCCTGAGGGAAATTGTCCTACGTCTCTGTTTTTCTCAGCAGGAATCAAGAAAGAAGCAGAAAGGGACACACTTTTCAGGCCATTTGATTGCCCCTCCGGGAAATGGGTTTTTATACTCCTGGCGCAACTTCAGGGGCTGGTTCCTACCCAGGGTCGTCTTTCATGTCGCTTAGCTTTCTGCTCCAAGGTGACCTCTGGGGGAGTCCCTGCAGGATCACTGTGGTCAGAAGAGCCCCCTCCCTCTCTTTCTAGCTCACCTCAGTGTGGCAGTGTGGCTCTATGGCAACATCTTGTCACATGTATATTTACACTTGGGTCCTGGTTACACCTGGAATATGTTTACACCTGGAATCATATGCAGATGGTCATGTCTGGAGCTCAGCTGTGGCTGAGTATTTAGGGCATGTGGGGTCTGTCTGGTTCTTGTCTGAGATGCTGTTTGAGATGGTCTTTTTCTCTTCCTGGTCACATCTGGGCCATGTTTGGAATGAGCCCAACGTCTGGGACTCAGGGTGCCTTTGTAAATGTTCTAAGACATTATTTGAGTATTATCTGAGACAGGCTTTAGGGTACATTTAAGTCATGCCTGAGGAACATCTGGGACTAGACCTGGGCCACCTCTGGGCCCTTAAAGGGACCATATTTAAATCCTATCTGGGGCCTGCCAATGGGACACGCTGAGGTCGTTTTAGATGGTCTCAAGTCCTTGTTAGAGCATATTGTATAATGCTGGGGCTTGTTATGTTTTGTGGCCATGTCAGGACATGTTAAGATATATTGGAGCCACGTCACATGTTCCAGGTTTATGTCAGGAGATGGTAGACAGTGCCAGCAGTGCTGGGTCCCTGTAAAGGAATTCTGTAGTGTCAAGCTATGCTCAGGTGTTGCAGAACATGTTAGACTAAGCTGGAGCCATGTCAAGTCGTACTCAAGTATGCTGTGCTGTGTTACGCTGACATTGCTGCATGGTGCTGCCACAGCCTGGTCTACTCTCCTCTCTTCTCCCACGTCCTTTCTTCTTTCTCTACCTTTGGCCCCCTTCCTGCTATGTGGAGGTCTGAGGGGAGAAGTGGAAACCTCTGGCTGGGAGCCTCCCCCCACACACCCAAAGTCCCTCCTTTACCTGCCTCCATGGCCCCTGATTGTCCTCATTCACGTCAGCCATCATTGTACCAAAGGGCAAGGTCTTCTACAGCTTCCTGAAGCCCTGGCTGGGGGAGTATCTGCAGGTGGGAACAGAGTTGGGATAAACGTTGGGGGGTCAGGGGAGGGAGATGCCCTTGCCCAGGACCCTTGGCTGCCCTGCCAGGTGACGGGTTCCTGCTGAGTGCTGCTGACAAGTGGAGCCACCACCATCAGATGCTGATGCCCACCTTCCATTTCAACAACATCCTGAAGCCCTGTATGCAAATTTTCAGGCCGGGAGTGCTGGTTCACACCTGTAATCCCAGCACTTTGGGAGGCCAAGGTGGGTGGATCACCTGAGGTCAGGAGTTCAAGACTAGCCTGCCCAACATGGTGAAACCCTGTCTCTACTAAAAAGACAAAAATTAGCCAGGTGTGGTGGCAGGCTGTAATCTCAGATACTTGGGAGGGTGAGGCAGGAGAATTGCTGGAACCCAGGAGGCAGAGGTTGCAGTGAGCCGAGATCGTGCCATTGGCCTCCAGTCTGGGAGAAAGGCAACAGCGCGATGCTGGTGACTGTTCCTTAGCTCCATGACTCATGCTGGCAACTTCGATGGCTCTGCTCTGCAGGTGGGGAGGGGAGGAGGTGTTCTGCCACCATTGCTTAGTTGGAATAGGAATGGAGGACAACATGCAGGGCTTAATACCAGTCTGGCTATCAGGGGAAAAGTTGCAGGCTGTTTGGACAGAAAAGATCTGCCCTGCTGAGAGAATTGGTGACATTGTGTGAGGGGAGATGATGCCACTTAACACGTTTAGTAAATGAACTTCCCCTGCACTCCCTTCTTGTTATCCCTGAAAACAAGGATTTTTATTTTTTTTCGTTAGAACCAGAGGTTTATTGTAGCGGATATACTTTCTGACCTATCATCGATATACACATCTGCAGAGGGAAACCACGGCGGCGATATACAGCATGAGGATATCCCCTGGGCATGAGTGTCCACTGTCTAAACAGAGCAGCTACCTGGACGGGACATGAAGGATGGCCACACACAACACAGCGCAGCCAGCAGTGTCCTCAGAACGAGCGGTCAGGTCATTCTGCAGGCATTGTCTGTTTCAGTTATTATGACAACCCGCTGAAACGCCCATTTACAGATGTGAAGGTGCACAGCCCGGTGGTGAGGGGGCACAATGTGAGGCTGGCTGGGTGATCTGGTGCGTGGCCCAGCTCCACCAGCTGTGTGACTGTGGGTAGTCACTTAAATATTTTCCAGACTTGATTTCTCATTTGTAAAATGATAAAATGGTTAATATACTTAAAACAGGCTCCACTACTCATGTTGGCAATGTCAATGGCCACCATTCCTGCTCTAGGCTGCCTGCCCATCCCAGGCACACAGGAGGTCTGCAGTGAGCTGAGCCATGCTAGCCACTGGAGGAGCTTTCTTCTGTGTCCCTAGGACCCTGCCTGTTCATCAAGCTCCGGTTTTGCTCCCTGAGCCTAACAGGGATAGAACTGCCAGCAGGTGAGGTCTGTCCTTGCAGAGGGGGTGGGGATTTTGGCGGATGCACCCAACCTCGCTGAGGCTGTAGGGCCAGCTGCCTGAATTCCCTGGCTGATTGAGCTGGCAGTGATAGTGGGGTGGGGGAGGACTGGGGGCTCACCAAAACCTGGCCAGTGTCAGGAGCACTGTCTTCCCCACCGTCCTGCTCGGCAGCTCTGCTAGGAGCCCCATCCTTCAAGACCCTCCTCTCCTGAGTCCACCCCACAGGGCAATTCTGGACAGGATCCAGGGAGGGCCAGGAGGGGAGCCCTGGGTTTGCTGGGAGGAGCATCCTGGGTGTGAAAGGAGGAGGCAGGTGCTGATCCAAGATATTTCTCCTCTGGGTCACCACATTACCTGAGATTCCTCCATTATAAATGTCCCTGTATTAATACTGCAGTGACCTTAATGAATAGGGGTAAGGCAGCATGGCAAAGGAAAATGATTTGGACTTGAGGCTCTTACAGATCTGAATTCCTGCAAGCTCTGCAACTTGGGCTAGAGGCCTGCCCACTCTGAGACTCAGTTTGCTTTTATGTTAAATGGATGTCTTCCCTCCTCTGGATGCTATCATTCAGGTCTCTCCAGCAATCCCCAGGGCTCTGGCCTAGAGAGCTGATGGGAGGGTGCTGGGACACCTTTGGGCATTGTGATGCAGGTGAGCATCTGATACAAGCAGGTGCAGTTTATGTACAGCACCTGGCACACAGTAGGTGCACTCTATGTAAAGCACCTGGCACATAGTAGGTGCATTTTATGTAGAACACCTGGCACAGAGTAGGTGTATTTTATGTGGCATAGTTAGCACATAGTAGGTACACTTTATGTGACATACCTGGCACACAGTAAGTACTCTCCATGTAGCATATTGGGCACACTGTAAGGCACACTTTAAATAGTGTACCTGGCACATAGTATGTGTGCTTTATATGAAGTATGTTCCACAGAGTAGTTTTGCTTTATGTAGAGCACTCAACACACAGGAGAAGCATCTTATGTAGAACATCTGGCACACAGTAGGTGTGCTTTATTTAGAGCACCTGGCACATAGCAGGTATGGCTTATATAAAGGGCCAGGGACTCAAGATACAGGATTTGTGGAGGGCACCCAGCATACAGTAGACACTCTTTATCTGGAGCACCTGGCACACAGTAGGTACACTGTATGTAGAGTAGCCAGCAGACAGGAGACCAGATTTATGTACAATACTTGTAAGGCCAGTTGCCTCACTGGGAGCTAAACGGACAGGCCCATCCCTCTCCACGCCTGATAACGAAGTCATCATTCCAAACACATTACTCAGCATCTGGCCTCTCCATGCGGGCTCCCCACACACACCTCTGCATTCCGCAACACTCAGCACCAAACTATGCACTCGAGCCCGCCAAAATTTAAAAGATTTCCTTATACTGGCCTCAGTTTCCTCATTTTAAACTCGGCAATAAACCTTACAATGCTTGACACAGAGTAGGTACACTTTATGTAGGTCACCAGGTACACAGTAGACATGCTCAGTGTACAGCTCCTGACATACAGTAGGTATGCTTTATATTCGGCAGGTGGCACAGAGTAGGCACGCTTTATATAAAGTACTCTGCACAAAGTAAGCTTACATTATGTAGAGCATGCTGCACACAGTAGGTAGACTTCATGTGGCGAGCCTGGCACATAGTAGACAGAATTTACATAGAGTACCTGGTACACAGTAGGTACACTTTATATAGTGAGACTGGCACACAGTAGGTGTACACAGTAGTACTTTCCATACAGTCTTTTGTGCACAGTAGAGACAGGCACACAGCAGCTCAAGTGCTAGTTGCCATTCCCTTCCCTTCAGCCCCTCTTTTTGGGGCTCCCTCTTCTTAGGAGCCTTCTTCTGTCACCCTCTAAGGCCTCATCTGACATCCCATTTCCCAGATGGGGAGCCTGAGCCCAGGAGGGCTGCACTGCCACAGTCAGAGAAAGGACAGAGCAGAAAAAGGACTCCACTCAGGGTCCCCTCGCTCTGCCCTCCCCTGCTTGGACCCCACTGGGCCCCTCTTAGCCTCGTCCTCTGTGCCTCCGCTCTGTCCTAAGCTGAGCCCAGCCTCTGGGTTTGCTCCTACAGTAGGGCTCTTTATCCCCAGAACCTGACCCGGGTAATCCTCAGTGGGGCTGGGGCTGGATTATCTGTTCCTGCTTCCAGCAGTCAGTTCTCAGCTCAGGCTCTGGGCTGCCTGGAGGCAGGGCTTGAATTCTTGCCAGGCTGTGAAGTCAGAGGTCAGACGCTTCTGTCTCTGAACCTCCTAAGTCTGCACCAAGAAATATTGCCTGACATGCTCCCCACCCATGTTTGGAGAGGAACCTGGACAATCTGGGACAAGGGTCTGCCTGGCCCAGCTCAACTGGCTGCAAACTCTCATGATAAGTTCATGCTTTTATCTGAACACCCTTGTGGAAGGGCAGGGTGGCTGTAAACTTGGGGTTCAGAGTCCCCTTTAACCACCCCCCAACTTCTCCTCCAAACTGCCAGGAAGGTGCTGAGACCTGAGAATTCAGTGCTCATGCTGGGGCACCCTGAGCGGGTCCATCTGCACCTAGCTGGCCCAACCCCAGGGTTTGGGTGGCTGCCCAGGCACGGAAGACACACCCAAGCTGTGGGGATTGGCTGGCCCAGCCCAGCCCAGCCTCCCAGGGCCTTCCCTAGATCAGAGGCCAGAGGCAAAGACTTCCCAGCAGAAGAGGAGAGGAGGTTGTGTGGAACAAGCTGCTCCTGACAGAAGGTGCCAGGCTGGAGGTGGTGGGACTGGAGGGTCCTGGTCTGGGATGGAGAGGGGCACCGCCCAAGGCTGGGGTGACTATAGGCTGCGGGCCTGGGAGAGTGGTGGTTTCTTGGTAACTGGACTCCTAGCAAACTCCTAAGAATTCAGGCTGGGCCTTCCTGGACTCTAACAGCTCCTGTCTTTCCTTCCCTTTCTGTGGTTACCAGGTCACTGGAGGCTGCCCGGTTGTTGGTTTTGGTTGGGCCTTTCTGGACTTTAGATCTCAGCCCTCGTTTACCTATTCCTGAGCCCTCCCTGCCCTGCCCCCTGCATTTCCTGACCTGGCCCCGCTCTGCTGTCCCCTGAGCTCCCCCGGCTCTTTCCTGGGCCTCAGGACCTCACCCTCTATCCCATCCCCCTGCAGATGTCACTGCTGAGCCTGTCCTGGCTGGGCTTCGGGCCAGTGGCAGCGTCCCCGTCCCTGTGGCTGCTCCCACTGCTGGTCGGGGTCTCCTGGCTGCTGGCCCGTGTCCTGGCCTGGACCTACGCCTTCTATGACAATTGCCACCGGCTCCAGTGTTTCCCCCAACCCCCAAAACGGAACTGGTTCCTGGGTCACCTGGGCCTGGTGAGTGTGGAGGCAAAATGGGTCTCGGGTCTCAGGGTGGATGGACTTCCAGAGGGGCAGGAATGGGGCTCAGGGAGCTGAGTAATGAGGGTGGCTGAGGAGTGGGACAGCAGAGGAGGGAGGGAGGCAGCTGACTCATTCCTCTCCCCATTCATTCATTCCTCTCCCACTCACACACTCCCTTCCCCACTCACTCCCCTCCCCACTAACTCACTCTCCTCCCCACTCACTCACTCCCCTCCCCACTAACTCACCCCCCTCCCCACTCACTCATTCCCCTACCCACTCACTCATTCCTCTCCCACTCACACACTCCCCTCCCCACTCACTCACTCCCCTCCCCACTCACTCACTCCCCTCCCCACTCACTCATTCCCCTCCCCACTCACTCATTCCTCTCCCACTCACACACTCCCCTCCCCACTCCCTCATTCCCCCCCAAATCACTCATTCCCCTCCCCACTCACTCATTCCCTTCCCCACACACTCATTCCCCTCCCCACACACTCATTCCCCTCCCCACTCACACATTCCCCTCCCACTCACTCGATCCCCTCCTCACTAACTCACTCCCCTCTCCACTCACACATTCCCCTCCCACTCACTCGCTCCCCTCCTCACTAACTCACGCCCCTCCCCACTCACTCACTCCCCTCCCCACTCACTCACTCCCCTTCCCACACACTCATTCCCCTCCCCACTCACACATTCCCCTCCCACTCACTCGCTCCCCTCCCTACTAACTCACTCCCCTCCCCACTCACTCACTCCCCTCCCCACTCACTCATTCTCCCCACTCACTCATTCCTCTCCCACTCACATACTCCCCTCCCCACTCACTCACTCTCCTCCCCACTAATTCACTCCCCTCCCCACTCACTCATTCCCCTCCCCACTCACTCATTCCCCCCACTCACTCATTCCTCTCCCACTCACACACTCCCCTCCCCACTCACTCACTCTCCTCCCCACTAACTCACTCCCCTCCCCACTCACTCACTCCCCTCCCCACTCACTCACTCCCCTCCCTACTCACTCGCTCCCCTCCCCACTCACTCATTCCCCTCCCCACTCACTCATTCCCCTCCCCACTCACTCATTCCCCTCCCCACTCACTCATTCCCCTCCCCTCACACATATTCCCCTCCCCACACACTCATTCCCCTCCCCACTCACGCATTCCCCTCCCACTCACTCGCTCCCCTCCCCACTCACTCACTCCCCTCCCCACTCACTCATTCCTCTCCCCACTCACTCTCACTTCTCTCTACCTAATACTTCCTTCCTCAGTGTACCCTCAAATGCTCTTCTCTCCTGAAACACCCTCACAAACACACACAGCAATAATGTGTGACTGGCTATCTGGGCATCCCTTAGCCTAGATTTAACCATCACAGGAGGTGACATCCCCTGACTTGCTTTCAGATCGGTCCTACAGAGGAGGGCTTGAAGAACTTGACCCAGATATCGGCCACCTATTCCCCAGGCTTTAGGATATGGCTGGGTCCCATCATCCCTTTTGTCGTTTTATGCCACCCTGACATCATCCGGTCTATCACCAATGCCTCAGGTACCCATGTACAGCCTGTGGTGGTGGGTGCCAGGCTAAGCTTCTGTGTGGTCCCTTCAGCACCCAGGCCCTTCCTTGAGTACCCAGTCCCCTCATTGAGACTTCCATATCAATGTCTTCTCCTTCCGTTGCCATTTGCTCCCTGTCTTGGTGTCCTGCGCACCACTGGAACTCCAAGAGGCCTCAATCCAAAGCCCTTTCTTGAAGGAAAGCCCATGCTTGAGGAAAGGGGTCTAGACAGGAAGAGTTTTAGCTTCCTGGGGTCAGGAGTGGGCAAGAGAGAGATGAGTGTGACAACCCAGACAACTGGGCATCTGCTGGGGCAGGCTGGAAGGCTTCCTGGAGGAGTTGTTGGAGCTGGATCTGGACTCATGAGTAAGAGTTTTTGAAGTGTGGGGCAGGATGATGCAGTGGGCATCATTGGTATTTGGGGGCCCCGGCAGTCCTGACGTCAGCCTTGTCCATCCCTCAGCCCAGAGCGGTAGGAGGACTTGTGGCTGGTGGAGAATCTGGGCTGCTGTTTATGTGACTTCCACCTATGATAGGTCAGTTCCTTCTACCTCATCCTGACACTCGTCCACACCAAGTTTACTGCTCTCCTCCTATAGGTTTTAGGAATCTCCGATGGGAGATCCCACACCAGCCAGTTGATCTCCCCTTGTTCTCTGCTCTTCTCCTTCTTGGACAGACCAGGATGAGCAGGGGAGGGGTCAGCGTCCCACAGAAACTATGGCTCTGACCCCAAAATGCTTAGTCACTGTGCAAATCACCAGCTCTCTCTGGCTGCTGAAGTCTCTCTCAGTTGTGAGTAACAGAAACTCAACTTCATGTGCTCTAAGCAAATAAACAGAATCAAAGGAGTGTAAAGTCAAGGGAGGGTGGTCTTCAGGCATGGCTGGATCCAGGTGTCAATGAACATCATCAGGAATCTGTTTCCTTTTCTTAATTTCACCATTTTTCTGCATCACTTTTCCTTTTAAGGCAGCTCTTTTCTTATGGTGTCAACTATGGGTCCCAGTAGCTCAGTTCTTGTCAGAAAGCTCACCTTTCCCCGAGGGGGTCCCACAAATAGCCTATGAGTTCTACATTATACCTGGCTATATCTGGCATGTTTTATCTGGGATCAAATGGAGAGGTCGTCATGTGTGTGGCTCAGCTGGGGGCAAGGACACTTGGGGCATGCCCCAGACTTTCTGCTTCTTCTCTGACCTGTGACTTGAAATTGTTTTCTTTTTCTTGTCATGTCACGGCCATGTTTGTGGCTTGTCCGAGGTTTGGGACCCAGGGTCCCTTTGGCATTGTCAGAATTATTATTTTAGTCTTCCTGAGCCAGGTCACAGAATCCATTCCAATCACCCTTGAAGAAAAGTCTTGGTTATACCTGGGACATGTCCAGACATTTAAGAAATCATATTTAAATCCCACCTGGGGCCTGTCTGTGAGGTCATGTCAGACTACCTCAGGGCCATGTTAGACGATGTGTCTTTTAGGGATCATCATGTGTGTTGTGTCATGTCACGGCATGTTAACTTATGTTGGGGACATGACCCAGGTCCCAGGTCTATGTCAGATGACAGAGAGTACTGGGACCCACATGTCCCTTTAAAGGTGTTTGAAGGCCCCTTTAAAGGTATTTTATAGAGTGTGGAGCTGTTCTTGGGTGTTGCACATACTGGGCCCTGTAGGAGACATGTCAGGGTGTGCTGGGGTGTGCTATGCCCTGTTAGCTTATGTCATTGCTTTACTGTGCTGCTGCGGCCTGGACTGGTCCTTTTTCCTCTATCCTCTCTTCTTTCTCTGCCCTTGGTCCCCTTCCTGCTATCCTGGGCATGGAGCAGGTAAAGTGCTGATAGGGAGCCTCCCCCTACACCTGAACTTCCTCTCTTGCTCTCTACATGGCCTCTGATGGTCCTCATTCATTCCAGCTGCCATTGTGCCCAAGGACGAGCTCTTCATCAGGTTCCTGAAGCCCTGGCTGGGTGAGTGCCTGCAGGTGAAAGGGGCTGGGGACGACCTTGTTGGGGGTAGGGAAGGTGCTGCTCTTGCCCACTGTCCTTGGCTACCCTGCTAGGAGAAGGGATACTGCTGGCTGCTGCTGACAAGTGGAGCCACCGCCGTCGGATGCTGATGCCTGCCTTCCACTTCAACATCCTGAAGCCCTACGTAAAGACCTTCAATGAGAGTGTGAACATCATGCTTGTGAGTCCCTTGAACCCTGGATCCCAGCTGGAGTCTTGGGGTGGAGGGACCACAGACAGATCTGCTCTGGAATTTTTGCTCTGCTGGGTGGCATTGGGCCATTGCTGTTCCTCTCTGAACCTTGGTTTCCTCATCTCTAAACAGGATTAATAATCTCTACTTAAAAGGTGGTAAGATAATGCAAGAGTCATGTCCCTAGCACATAGCAGATAGTCAGAAGGTGTCAGTTTCTGTGTTTTTCTCACGAAAGCCATGTAAATGCAAGAGTAAAGATGAAGATTGCATAGTCGTCTTTGGTGATTACAAACCACTTGAAAACTCACTGGCTTCGAGCAATAAGGGTTTACGATTGCTAATGAGTCTGTGAGACAGTTCATTCACAAGTTTGGAGCTTCACTAGCTTCAGGCTGATCTAGGATGGCCTCAGCTGTGACACCTGAACTTTTCCCCATGTGATTCTCTGCCTCCAGAAGGCACCCTATTGTTCACATGGGAGAGACTGGGTTCCGAGAAACAGTGAGGAGGCTGCAATGTCTGTGGACAGTGTCTCTGCACTGTTTCAAAGTTCAAGCAGCCTTGGGTCTATTAGAGTTATTATATCATCATTTTCACCACATTGTATTGGCCAAAGAAAGTCAAAAGTCCGGCACAGACTCACAGGGGTATAAAATAGAATCCATCTCTTAATGGGAGTTGCTGAAAAATTACTATGCAAAGGGTGTAAATACAAGGAGAAGTGAAGAACTGAGGGGTCAGGATTTTGTGAAGTGTCCAGGTTGTTTTTTAAGTTTGCAAGCTGAAAAGTTAGATTGTTACTGTTTCATGCATTCTAACAGAAGACACAAGACTCCTGGGTCAGAGGCAAAGGGCAGTTGATTACTCATGGCACAGTAGGCAACACGTACTTCTTGTTTGTTTGTATCCTTTTTCTGAGTCAACCTAAATTCCATGGGGGACACTGATGGGCTCCTATAGCAGCCTGCTCATGCACTACACTGCATGGCAGACAACAGGCGCTAGGCCTAGGAAATCTGCTTTAATAGCGGCAGAAACAAGCCTGATATTAATCCAGGGAGAGTCATTGCCTTATCTCTCCAGGTTGTTCTCTGCAAACACAACTCTTTGAGACATGGCTCAAGGAAGAACATCACAGTATTGTACTGGTGGCATACCCAGCATGGATGCTCGGGGCTGAGGAAGGAGTGCCTCTTCCAACACAGGGATAGTTTTGCAGTGAATTTATCACAATGGAGATGAATAAAGAGGACATTTACTGGGCACTCACCATATGCCTGAAAAAATGCCATGTCCCAATGCCAGGATACATGTTGTCTACTTTAATTTTAATAACCCTGTGAGGTTATGATTATTTTTGCCCTAATGCAGATGGTGAACTGAGGGTCAGGGAGATTAGGGAGCTGGACAGAGGTCAACCAGTTAATAAGTGAGCTAGGAGTGGTGGAGCAGAGATTCTGTCCTGGTTTATCTGGCCCCAAAGCAGACCGTCATCACTGTTATTGAATATTTGACAGGTGGGACCTAGAGGAGGGCAGCAAGTTGACCAAGGGCACACAGAGCATAGGAGGCAGAGCTGAGACTTCAATGCAGGTCTCTTGACTCTCAGCCATGGGTCTTTGTCTCCTAAAACCAACAGCTTCTGCTCCCATCCAAGTCTGGTCCTCGTTGGCAATGGGTTCCTGGAACAGAGGACAAGGAGGCTAGTTGTCAGGAGTCCATCCTGATGTTTGGGGCTGGGGAGGGGCACCAAGAATGCAGGGTCTGGCTCTAGCTGTCTTCCCTTCTCTGTCCAGGACAAGTGGCAGCGCCTGGCCTCAGAGGGCAGCAGTCGTCTGGACATGTTTGAGCACATCAGCCTCATGACCTTGGACAGTCTGCAGAAATGCATCTTCAGCTTTGACAGCCATTGTCAGGAGTGAGTTCCTTCCCAGGGCCTGGGATGGGAGTCCACGGACCAAAGGGAGTAAGTTGGGGAGGGAGGAATGAGCAAAGTGACCAGAAGTACCTTTCAGGAGGATTTGCATCACAGCTGGGCTTTGAAGGTCAAGAAAGTGAGAAAGTGTTGGCTTTCCAGGTGGGTAAAAATGCTTGAGTAACAGCAAGAAGGTTAGGATGAGCCAAGCATGTACAACAGACAGGAGAAATGAGGTTGTGGAAGTAGACAGAGTTAGATATTTAGGACACTGAAAATCAGGAACAGTGGTATGAAGTTGATCAAGAGATTTCCCGAGAGCTTTTGTAGTTTCAGCTGATGATGGAACTACAAAGTAAGAGCTCAGCTGTGTGGAAAACTGATAGCCCACCACTACACCTGGCTAATTTCTATATGTTTAGTAGAGAGGGGGTTCGCCATGTTGGCCAGGCTGGTCTTGAACCCCTGACCTCAGGTGATCTGCCTGCCTTGGCTTCCCAAAGTGCTGCGATTACAGGGTGGAAGGTGCGGGGGAGACAGAGAGAGAGTTGGTTTTGGCGGGGCTGGAGCAGGGATGAATTGAAAGGGGATGAAGTCTGAGTTGTGTGGACAGTGTTGGAAAATGATCCGTACTGGACACTGTTTGGGAGACAGAGGAGAGAAACGCGGTGTCCAACCTATACTCTGGGTGCCTTGGTGCATGGAGACAACTCTCAGAAAGAGGGTGCAGGTAGGGAAGAGTCTGGACAGTCAATCTCATGACTGATACCCACTATGTATCTCTAGGACCATCGGTTTCTAGATACTCAGTTTCCTGATAGGTGGTAGCTCCTGGCTGCTGGAGGGTAGTTCCTAAAGCTTTGCATATGTTCAATTGTTGCCTCCCTCTCCATCCTCGACCTGCAGGAGGTCCAGTGAATATATTGCCACCATCTTGGAGCTCAGTGCCCTTGTAGAAAAAAGGACCCAGCATCTCCTCCAGCACATGGACTTTCTGTATTACCTCACCCACGATGGGCAGCGCTTCCGCAAGGCCTGCCGCCTGGTGCATGACTTCACAGACGCCGTCATCCAGGAGCGGCGCCGCACCCTCCCCACTCAGGATATTGATGACTTCCTCAAAGACAAAGCCAAGTCCAAGACTTTGGATTTCATTGATGTGCTTCTGCTGAGCAAGGTGGGTTTCTCTATGATCTGAATTAAAGTGATAGAATGGAGCTTGATGTCAAATGTCAGATGAAATAAATTGGACTTGATCCAAAGGGCACTGGGAACCATGGAGATGCTTGAGAAAGGGAAGATCCTGTGACCAGATAGGTTTCAGATATGACTCTGTTGAATGCAGCCTGCAGGGGACTGCTAATTCTGAAGAGCCTAAGATTTTACTCAACTTACAAGTTAGTAAGTTAGTCTTCCACATTTTTATGTATATCTATATGTCTGTGTCTTTGTCTATATCTATGACGACAGATGCACCAAAGCACTGGACCACAGCAGCCCATTAGCTATTTACAGCAATAACAGCCGGTTGAGTAGGACTGTAGAGCTGGCTCCCCATTCCTAGGGCAACACAATGTTTTTACCTGTAAATGCACAAGAATTTGTACCATAGGAGAGGGGCTGCTACATTCTGAGTCTTATAGCTTATATAAAACAGCTAGCCCTTATACTCCTTTTTTCTTACAGAGAGAGAGAAAGAAAGAGAGAGAGAGCGAGAGAGAGAGCGAGAGAGAGCGCACACTTTGTTCTGGAGTATAAACTACTCCTCTCCAGTGAGATGGCAATTTCTATAGTTTTGTAACCCAAACATCTTCTGGAAAGATAAGATTCTCTGAGCTTGCCACTCTAGCATGTGAGCAAGTATCTTTGGAGCAATACATAATTTCTAAACTCCAAGGAAAATTGCCATTTAAACATCCTGTACCCTAGGTTGCCAGTATCTTTTTCTCTGAAAGTCTGCATTATGCAGAAATATGAAAGTATTCAAAATCCATCCATTCCTGCCACCAGGAACCAAAGAGGAGGCAAAGGAGCTGGGGGGAAGCCCTTGGAGTGGGGGCTCTGGTGACAGTGACCAGGAGAGATCTAGAAGTGCCGAGTGTGTTTGAGTTTCTGGCAGAAGATCGGATTATCAGAGGTTGTCTTAGGTTAGACTCGGGGGTCTCAGAGATAGTATAATGTGTGTGTGTGTGTGTGTGTGTGTGTGTGTGTGTCTTACTTTCTCTTCAGGATGAAGATGGGAAGCCATTGTCAGATGAGGATATAAGAGCAGAGGCTGACACCTTCATGTTTGCAGGTGAGGGTCCCAGTGTGGGACTACAGTGGAGACAGACGTTCCTCCGTCTCAGGAACCTGGTGGGTGGACCATGGATCACTCCATTCTGCCCATCTTCCCCCTCCCTCCATCCTCCTGAGGGTCTCAATATGTTGGCGCTGTCCACCATCTGGTGCTGAAGCAGCCTGGAGACCCAAGCCTGCCTTGCTTCCTCTTAGGCCATGACACCACAGCCAGTGGCCTCTCCTGGGTCCTGTATAACCTCGCGAGGCACCCAGAATACCAGGAGCGCTGCCGGCAGGAGGTGCAAGAGCTTCTGAAGGACCGTGGGCCTAAAGAGATTGAATGGTGAGTGCAGGCGCAGGCTCCTGAGCTTCTCTCATTGGCTCTGCTCCCCAGTTGGGGAGAGGAGGAGGAGAGGAGATGTTTTGTTGATTCTTCCACTATTGCTTAGTGGGTATAGGAACAGAGGACCACAGGAAGGGCTTGATACACAGCCCAACTGTCAGGGGAAATGTTGCAAGCCTTTAGGACTGAAAGAACAGGAATGCTGAGAGAATTGGTGACAATATGTGAGGACAGATAATGCCACTTAGCATATGTTTAGCAAATGAACTTCCCCTCCACTCTCTTTTCTCCCAGAAATATCACTTTTTTTTTCAGACATCTTCACTTGTTGGGCATTTGCTCAGGTTAGGAGGGGAGAAGTTGTTTTTATAAATTCTTCCATTATTCCTTATTAGCACTAGGAGTGGAGACCAGAGGCAGAACCTGGTATCCAGCCTGGCTAGCAGGGGAATGCTTTCAGGCTTTTGGGACAGAAAGACCTAGCCTGATGAGAGATTTAGTGGCAATATATGAAAGCAGATGGTGACACCTAGACACATGCCATCAATGAATTTTCCTTTCACTCCTTTCTTGTTTTTGTCTGAATTATCATTTTTTTCAAGCATCTTTACTTCCTGAATGTTTGCTCTTCTGTTCCCTATTTCCTACCCTCCAGTCCAGTCCAGGGATTCATAAGAGAGACCTGGGGGTAAAAGTCATCTATCTTTTGTCTAGGACACCTGCATCATTCATCTATCCAGTCTTTGTTCAGCAAACTCTTCCACATGCCTTTCCAATGTTACTTCTGTTCCCAGCACCTTTCTGTGCTCTGGAGACCTGGAAAGAACCCTGCCCAGGGAATGTGTTTTCCAGGTACTCCCAGCCTAGTGGGAACAGTCCCAGGACAGGACATTCACAGTTCACATGGGCAAGGACAGAGTTGAGAGCAAGAGAAACATGGCTGACAGTATGGAAAGTGTTTCAAGCCAGATGTGGTGACTGGTGCTGGTGATACCAAGTACTAAGGAGGCTGAAGTGGGAGGATCACTTGAGGTCAGGTTTAAGACAAACCTAGGGGCCAGGCATGGTGGTTCACACCTGTAATCCTAGCACTTTGAAAGGCTAAGGTGGGAAGATCATGAGGTCAAGAGATCGAGACCATCCTAGCCAACATGGTAAAATTCTGTCTTTACTAAAAATACAAAAATTACCTGGGTGTGGTGGTACACACCTGTAGTTCCAGCTACTCCAGAGTCTGAGGCAGGAGAATTGCTTGAACCTGGGGGATGGAGGCTGAAGTCAGTGGAGATTGTGCCATTGCAATACAGCCTGGCAATAGAGTGAGACTCCATTAGAAAAAAAAAAGATAAACCTGGACAATATTGAAAGAACTCATCTCTAAAAAAGTAAAAAACCAAAATAATAAAGCACCTCAACTGAAACTCTGAATGGTGATCAGTAGAAGTTTGAATGCAGTAGTGCTCTAGAGCCAAAGAGATAGCCTGGGCAAAGATGCAGAAAGGAGGGGTGGGAGAGAGGGAGAAGAGGGAAAGAGAGAAGGAGTGGTTTGTGCATGGGGTGAAGGAGACACCTTAAAGGGAGAAAGAAGTAAGAAGGAGGGAAAGTGAGCGAGAGCCAGATAAAGAGAGGAGGGAAGGGAGAAGGAGACAGAGAGATAATGAGAGAGGAAGAAACTGAGGTATGATGATAAAATAATAACGGAGGTGAAAGCAGAGTCTGGCTGTAAAAGACATGGGAAAATGGTAATGGCTTCCATTTCAACTCAAAGGCAATGGGCAGCCATCACAAGTGGCTGGGCAGGGGAGGGACAGGTCAGATCTGGGTGCCAGAAAGATCTTTTCAGGGGTACTGTGGAGGGAGAACCAGCTGTAGAATGAAGTCCCAGGGAAGTCATTCTGAGACCTGAGCCAGGCCAGGGGCTGAAGATGGAGAGGAGGCAAAGGACTGGGCAGGTGTTTTGGAGGCGGTGTCCTCCCGTCCAAGCCTTTGCTCAGAACAGCTGTCCTAAAAGGTGGCAACACATTTTTTTGTGGGGGGGAGGAAGGCAGGAAAGGAGGGACGAAGGACAGTAGGGAGGGAGGAAGGGATGAAGGAAGGAAGGAAGGGAGGAAGCAGGGAGGGAGGGAGGAAGGGAGGGAAGGGAAGGAAGGAAATCAAGCAATGAGAGAGACATTGCCGACCTGGATCTAGAGGTTTACAAGTTGATTTCTTTTTTTTTTTTTTTTTTTTTTTGAGAGAAGGAAAGAAAAAAAAAAAAGTAAAGGAGAGGAAGAAAGAGGAAGAGAAAGAGGGAGAGTAAATGGAAATATTGCTTTATTTTGAAGAAAATTGGGTATTAATAATGGCCAATCAATGTTTCATTTAAACTTATGGGTAGGCGTGATGTGGTATTGACAAGAATGTATATTTTGTGTATTTGAAGTGGAGAGCTCTATAAATATTTATTAAGTTTACTTGTTCCGGATCTGAGTTCGAGTCCTTGATATCCTTATTAATTTTCTGTCTCACTGAATCTAAGTCTCGTATCTGGGTGTTAGGATCGTTAGCTCTTGTTGTTGCATTGATCCTTTTACCACTATATCTTTGTTGCTTTAAGATCTATTTTATCCGATACCAGAATTGCAACTCCTGCTTTTTATTTATTTATTATTTATTTTTGCTCTCCATTTGGTTAGTAAATCTTTCTCCATCCCTTTGTTTTGAGTCTTTGTGTCTCCTTGCATGTGAAACAGGTCTGGATGTAACATGCCGTTGGGTTTTGGCTGTGTCTTTTGATTGGGGGATTTAGTCAATTTAAATTTAGGGTTACTGCCATTTGATGTTGACCGGCTGTTTTATCCATTCGTTGGTGTAAATTCTTCTTTATGTTGGTGCTCTTTACTTTTTGGTGTATTTTTAGAAAGGCTAATACTTGTTGTTTCTTTCTGTGTGTAATGCTTCTTTCAGAAGCTCTTGTAAAGCAGGGCTGGTGGTAATAAAATCTCCGAGTTCTTGCTTGTTCATAAAAGATTTTATTTTTCCTTCAGTTGTGAAGCTTAGTTTGGCTGGATATGAAATTCTGGGCTGAAGGTTCTGTTCTTTGAGGATGTTGAATATTGGCCCCCACTCTCTTCTGGCTTGTAGAGTTTCTGCTGAGAGATCTGCTGTAAGTCTGATAGGCTTGCCTTTGTGGGTAACCTGACCTCTCTCTCTGGCTGCCCTTAGTATTTTCTCCTTCGTTTCAACCCTGGTGAATCTAACAATTATGTGCCTTGGGGTTGCTCTTCTTGAGGAATATCTTTGTGGTGTTCTCTGTATTACCTGGGGTTGAATGTTGACCTGCTTTGCTAGTTTAGGAAAATTTTCCTGAATAATATCCTGAAGGGTAATTTCCAGCTTGGATTCATTCTCTCCATCGCATTCAGGTCCACCTATCAAACGTAAATTTGGTCTTTTCACATAGTCCCACATTTCTTGGAGACTTTGCTCATTCCTTTTTATCCTTTTCTCTCTAATCTTTTCTTCACGTTTTATTTCATTAAGTTGGACTTTGACCTCTGATATCCCTTCTTCTGCTTGAACAATTCGAGTGTTTAAACCTGTGCATACTTCTCCGAGTTCCTGTATTGTATTCTTCAGTTCCATTAATTCACTCATACTCCTCTCTAAGTTGTCTATTCTCAATAGGATTTCATCAAACCTTTTTTCAAAGTTCCTAGTTTCTTTACGTTGGGCTACAACATGTTCTTTTAACTCACTGAAGTTTGTTATTATCCATTCCTTGAAGAGTGATTCTGTCATCAGGATGCGCTCGTTCTCCATTAAGCCTTGTTCCATTGTTGATGTGGAACTGTGATCATCTTTAGAGGGAGAGGCGTTCTGACTTTGAGTATTCTCAGCTTTTTTATGCTGGTTTCTTCCCGTCATTGTAAATTTATCCTCCTGTTGTCTTTGAAATTACCAACTTTCAGATTAAGTCTCTTGAGTGAACGTCCAGGTTGTTAGTTCCCAGGGCCAGAGCAGCAGTGTTATAACTGATGGTGCTTTTCTGCCCAGGAGTCTCCTGTCTGGCTTCCTTCTTGTGTCCGTAGTAGGCGACTCTGCCTTCCCGGGGCTCCAAACCTCGGTCAGAAGGGGAACCGGTCCCGCGCCGAGCACTGCCGTGCCGAGGTGCCGTCGCAGCCACTGCGCCGGGCTCTGGTGTCCTGCTGGGGGCCCATGCAGGTCCTCCAAACCTGTTTACTCTGCTCCGAGAGCTGCCGCACCGAGGTGCCGCGGAACCGCTGCGCCGGCCACGAGAGTCGCGCTGGCCACCCGTGTGTTTACTCCACTGGGGGATCTTCTGCTCCGTGAGCGACCAGAATTTGTCTGAAAGTGTGCCGTCCTCTAGTTCTCTGTGCCTTCCCTGAGAGCTGCAGTCCTGAGATGTTAGCAATCAGCCATCTTGGATCGTTCAGCCACAACACATTTTTATGCTTTTAAAAACCAAGACATCAAGCAACATTATGCACTTTTTAAAGAAACTCCAAAAAATGTATAAAAATGAACTTCCTTCTTAAGTCTCACCCTAGTGGTTTCTACCATCAATGGTTTACTGTGTGTCCCTCCAGAAAATGGCTATCCTGATGCCTACTTTACATGAACACGGACTTTTTCTATACAAACAAGAGTGTATAACGTAGACACAGTATTTTTTCCCAAGATGGTGGATTGGAGGCAGTCAGTGTGCCTCTCCCACATGGTAGGACAGAATAGTGTGTAGAGATTCACACTGAGAACTTTCTTTTCCCAAGAAAAAACACAGGGACTCAACAGGAAAACCAAAAGAATCTACAGATCCTTTGAAAGAAGCCACAGGCTGCAGTCTACTGTGTGAGAGAGGTGAAAAACTGTAAATCTCCAGAGTGTGAGAGGGGGAGAGACTGCCTCCAGGATGGATACACATCTTCGCTGAGGAATCTGAATATCCAGGCCACAGGGGAAGGCCTTAACTCTACCCAGGGCTTGAACTGATTTAGGGA